CCATAAAAGATATTTTATCTCGTAAGAATGCATTTTCGTTTACCACAAATATGTTTCTCTTTTTTTCGTTTTTAATTATGGATAAAAATGTATATATATATATTGTTATAACTTCAAATTTTATTTCTTAGTAAATATTGATGAAATACCAATATATGTTATCTCATTATATTTACAACGTACACGGTTTTTAATATTTAGTTATGTTTGGAAATTATTGCTACGTTATTACCTCTGTTACTATCTTTAGAATATATTTTATTGTATATTTGAGTAACGATGAAAATTCCATTTTAATTTTATACTAATACATACATCGTCTTTATCGTTGTTAAATCTTGCACAATGTACGCGTATACATTGAACGCTTAAGGTCGAAACACTTTTCTTACTTCGTGCTTAACACTCAATCAAACGTGAAAATAATATCAACTACAGATGTAGGAAAATAAAAAAAAAAATTAACTCTAGTCCTTATACTTTCGTCTTAATAGTATGCTTCGCGAATATATTACTATTGAAAAATACTTCAGAAAAATTATTAACGAATGTATGTTCAACACGAATGTGTAAATTGACTGTATTAAAAAAAATCGACCACTCATTGTAAATGTAAAAAAAGAAGAAATGAAACAATGAAGGAAAGTAGTTTTGTCGAAAGTTCCAAGTTTCATAAGTTCAACTATCTCCAATGTTTAAAGTGCTGCGGGCAAAACAATGTTTTTATAAGGGTTTTTTGCTAACATTAATTACATTTCAACACATGGCATTGGTAATTAAGTCAGATATGATTGTAAGATACATTTACGTATTATTAATCGAACCATTTAAAGTACAAATTTAAAACAAATTTGTAACGGAGTTGATTTATATACTTGCGTACGTGTATATATGTATAAAGAATATAATATATACATATATATATACACACGTATTTTTTATTATTTATCGTATCGTTCAATTGAATTCATACGAAACCTACGTTCCAGGTTACGTGCCTACATTTTGATAAATTTTGATCTATACAGGCTATACAAACAGGGTAGGAGCTTTGTAGAAAATATGAAATGTACAAATAATATAGGAGTATTCAATAAATATTTAACACGATTGATTTTCACTTCTTTTTTTTTTATATATGTACGTGATTGATAATTTTCATCGGTAAAGCTAGACCGAACATGACATCGAAATCGAAAATGATTGATGACAGCACAATTAATGTTTTTATTCACATTGTTGCTACTAACATAAGATCGTTATACACAATATTTATATTTACGAAAACTTCGATATTTAAATACAAAAATTAAAGGCATGATTTGTCAAATAATTTTACACGACGATAGGAACACAAGACCACAACGGTAACTGACACTGCGATTTGTTCTCTAATATCTGTACTGTATTTAAACGACTAAATATAACTCGGAATTCATGATGTAGTTACTGAAAGTGTTCGCATTTAATCGGGCATCGGATTCTCTCAAATACAACAGAACGATTTTTGATTGACTGAACGATTGAAAACTACGCGAAAGTTTGTATATGGAGATTACCCTAATGCAAAGGAAGTAATACAATGGTATTCTTAAAGTAATATGTAGCGAATTAAGAACATTCAAAGTTCTGTCGGATTGATAAAACTCAGTATATGAGTGGATATCATACCTTTCAAGGAGTCAAACAATGATGCACGTTTTCGGATAGCTTGACTGTTAATTGAAACACGTACAAGTATTCTGCAGAGTTATCAATTATACATGCAGCTATCCTTAGCAAAGAACTGAGGTCCATGGTCCACTCAATCTTACTTTTAAACACGAATCTGATAGAATATTATTTTGTAAACTGCATCCACGTGTTTGCGTAATATATCTGTGTAATGTTGATGTGTACCTGTGAATGTAGATGTATTCTTCCTTAGCATACTTTAAAATGTATATAAACAAATACGATCAAACATGTGATCTATATTTAATCTTCTTTTTCTTCTCTGAAAAATAAAAACAAAAAACTGATCACTTCTGGACGATTATACCGAGATTATAAGGAACGTAAGAGTGTAGATAGAGAAAAAGGGAATTTAGAAGGAGAGAAAACGTACTTTACAACTTCCTGTTGTTGCTGATCCAAGTGTAGTTCAACAATGGTTTCTGTTCTGCTTTGCACTTTGAAAGTAACTTGTGCAGCCAAATATTTATCTTTGTTATTTACTGACCATCCGGAATACTGGAAAACATATTTATCATTAAGCTAAAGTGAAAACATAACAGATACATTTCGCAATATAAAGAAACATACCGTCGATGTACTCTTATATAATGTCTTTCCATCCTCTTTGTATGGTAAAAATTTTTGAAGTAATGCCTTGCCATCTATCCTCCATAATGTTGGATCCGTACTTCCACCAATGTCGGCTTTTGCAACAACGAATGCTCCAGACTAGGATAATCCATAATAAAACACCATAATTTACCAAATACGGTTGAAATAGACATACCGCATTTATTTTAATTATAGTTTATAACTCACGGTAAAATCTTTTGGTGTTTCTCCCGATGATTCATTAAAGCTATTGTCATCAGAATCTTCTTCATCTTCGTCCTCCTTTTCATCTTCTTCTTTCTTAGATCGTCTTTTTCTTTTAGGTTTTTTCCCTGTGTCAGAATCAGATTCCTCGTCTTCCTCGTCATCTTCTTCTTCGTCCTCCTCTTCCTCCTCATCTTCTTCTTCTTCTGAATGATGCCGCTTTTTAGCAGCTTCCCTCTGTGGTCTCTTTTTAGCACCGCTCTAAACGGTCAAAAAACAATCAACGAATATTATTTTAATTGTTTCACATCGAACGAAAAATATAGAATTTCCTATTTGTAATTATAGTGTACAATATAATACGGAACATAAATGCGTATCAATGGCGAAATTGAAAGCAGGATTTTTAAATTGTAAATATTGCATATACAGCAGTGGTTAATATCGAACAATAATATTTTTACTTAGAAGGAATTGAAAATTTGAAGCGAAACGGAAAAGAAACAGAGTTGTATTGTTTTGAAAAATTGGTCGGCGCCACCGACCGGCCGGCAAAGATAGCTCGTCGACCACATATAAAAGTGTCTTGGAGAGAAACTATATTCGATTAAAGTATAATTGAATAATTTCAATTTAAGAATTAATTTAACGTAAAATCTATTTTCCGCGAGACATTTTGTTAGCATATTCCCGAACGAATACAACATCAGGTAGAGTGGTTGTTGCAGCTACAACACATCGTTAGGCTATACCACATATGCACGTACATAACTAACTCGATTCGTGTTTTCTCGTTATCTATTCATGGGGATTGATTAAAAATGATATTTATTTGGATAATAACAAAAATTATGAAATCGGCGACTAGACACAAACATTTCAGACCGAATTCAATTAATTATGCAGAAATCTTTATGTTCGTTGTTTGTATTTCCTCAAGAAAACGTAACGAATCGGGCCAAGAGATATTCGCCTGACAGATCTTTGTTTGCGAATATAACGGCGTATAAACATGTTTGCGTGCTATGAAACATGCAGAACGTCTAACAGATGCAGTAAACGGCAAGGTTCAATTAGAAAGGGAACGTAGAGCAGAACACAATTGGGGTAGCAATAGAAATGAGGAAAGCGTTAGTAGCGTGGGCTTACCTCGGCTCCGGCTTCAGGAGTCCACTCTTCTTCGGAAGCTCCTTCCACTTCTTCCGGGTCATCCGCGGAATATTCGTCCTCGTCCGACACGTCCTTGGTCTTCTTCATGTTGCTTTTTCGCGAAATGTTTGCAAACTTTCCCAGTGGGACTCACCTAAGAAGAGAAATAAAACTCACGAGTTCGCGTGCGAGACGAAGCAGCTACGTGCACGATTGCCGCAAACAATATGGCGGTATATGGCGGTGGGAACTAAAATGCGCGCACGTCCTCCTGCGCACACCGGAAGCGACGCGTGCTCCCCAATTTCCTCCGCGTCTGTTGAACCGCGAAGCGCAACGATTTTCAAACATTCACCCGAGTCGTTGGTCATATACGCGCATCACGCAAACACAAGCCGGCATAAATTTCTAAGAAAGACGTAAAAAATGAACTATTGAAACCTCTGAGAGCTCGTTCAGACTGAGGCACACAATTGTCTACAGTTTATCGACTGTCTTAAATTTGTTTTCTATCTTTTATCATTTATAGACGCTGTCCGCGTAATTTCTAAGATAACGATGGAAGAGAAAATACAAATCCGAGACAGTCCGCAGATAATAATCTCTCATAGCTCTAAGTATTCAGTTGATTTGGACAAGAATCATTAAATCTTATCAACACGTTTTATCGTGTCATATAATGATAATAGTGTCGTGATGAATTACATAGCCAACTAACGTTTCGTCTTTTCGTCTGAGTAAAAGAATTAGTTTGTTTTTCTAATTTACATTTCAGTTTCTATCGTCTTCTACTTTGATCTGTGTTCGAAATATTTCACGAATCGGGTCAATACGAGAACTGGCGCATGCGTTTGTATTCGGCAGAATAAGACGCTCCCTTTGATATTTACGGTGTTGAGAAACTCGCTGCACATAGGGAACAAACGATCGTAAAAAGAAAATCGGAATTATGTTCGAACTGTACGGCGTGAATAAAGATGGTATGGTTTATCGATCTCCACCACCGAGAAGAAAAGAAGTCGACATATTAGAGGTAGTTCCGTGGAATTGCTCGTTTTCATTGATCACTTTAATTACTTTAAACGTTCGTATGCTTGTTGATGCCTTTGTTTCTCGATCGGTACAATGACATTTTTAAATACGGACAGTAATTCCAGCAGTTCATTTCGTGTACTCATTAAATCATGCAATAATTCATTTAAAGATGAAACCAAATGTGATAAAAAAAAATTTACGTAAACTAGACATCGTATGAGAAAAATCGTGATTTTTACAGACATGTCTCCAGTTATCGTCTCCCGAATTAATGAGAAAACTGCCTAATGGTGATGCGATACATCATGCAAAAGACACAGGCGTTTCCACTTCCTTGGAAAAGGATAAAGAACCATCGAGGGACAATGGTACATTTTTAATTATAGATTCCTTTGTTTGTCCGTTTAATTTTCACACATGGTCATGTTTTGAGAAGAAATATGGAATGATAAGAAATGTTGGTTTTACGATGAACAGGCCGAAATGTGTTGAGAAAGTGGATAGTGATGGCAGGATTCTTTTTCCTTGGATGTGCCTTGGTTGCCGGCGTGGGTCTGCCCTTAGCATTAGAACTGAGAAGTTCGCATTTATTAAAAGCCAGACTCCAAGTTGTGCGACGTATGCTGTCCGAGATACCCCTGATCGACGGGTAAAGTTACATTTTAAAATAACAGTCTTTGATCTGTTTTTACTCTCTTCTAAGTGTACATATTATTGTTTAAATATCTCTCACAGGCACAACGATTTCGCATGGAACCTCCGAAAGCATCGGGGAAACACAAATATACAAGATTTTCCTTTCGACGAAGACTTGTCGCAAAACGTAAGCTGGGGCTCCGAATGGCAGACGGATCTGGTGAGATTGCAGCAGGGAATCGTGGGTGGACAATTTTGGTCTGTGTACGTACCGTGCGAGGCGCAATTCCTCGACGCGGTACAACTTACCTTGGAGCAGATAGACGTGATACGTAGGCTCTCTTCGAGGTATCCGAAGAGAATAAGAATGGTGATGAGTAGCAAGGAGCTGGAGAAAGCGCACAAGGACGGTGTGATAGGCAGTTTGGTCGGAATCGAAGGTGGTCACAGTATCGGTACGTCAATGGCGGTATTAAGAAGTTTCCATCGATTAGGCGCACGATACATGACCCTGACACATAAGTGCAACACTCCGTGGTAAATTTACACTCTTGTCATTTAGTATATCGAAACTAAGTCGATGGGATCTCGCTCGAAGAGACGATTACTCGTAGGGCAGATTCGTGTTCGGTGGAGGATTCGGACGCGCCGTTGGATTTTCACAGCGGCGGTTTGTCGCTGTTCGGAAAAGCGGTGGTGAGAGAACTGAATCGATTAGGGATGCTCGTGGACCTCTCTCACGTTTCGATAAGGACCATGAGAGACGCGTTGGCGATCAGCAAGGCGCCGGTCATATTTTCTCATAGCGCGGCAAGAGCTCTCTGCAATTCGTCTAGCAACGTTCCGGACGACGTGCTCCGCAACTTGGTGAGAAAAGAAAGTCGACCGACGCAATTTTTCCAATCGACTCTCGATTTCCGTCACTTTCCCCATTTCCCCATCTTCTCTCTTGTCGCAGTCGGTGAACGGTGGTCTGGTTATGGTCAGTTTCGACAGTACGCATTTGAGCTGCGGCGATAAAGCTTCCATGTATGACGTAATAGGTACGCGTGCACGTTTATTCTATTTTATAGAAGAACGATACACGTAGAGTAAAAGCGTTGGGGGAACATAAAATTTGGTTTCTTTTACAGCTCACATAAATCACATAAGGCGGATAGCTGGCGTTAACCACGTGGGACTGGGTGCTGGTTACGATGGTATATCTAATCCGCCGGTTGAACTTCCGGACGTTTCTGGCTACCCTCTGTTATTAGCCGAATTGACCAGAGATCGAAGGTGGTCGGCTTCGGACATTAAGAAGTTGGTTGGCGGAAATTTGTTGAGAGTATTGAAAGAAGTGGAGGTACACGCGGCAACCGTATCGCATCAATCTCCCTCAGAGGAGTTGATTCCTCAAGAGCTGATCGAGGATTCCGCCTATTGTAGATATCATGACGCCTAATAAATTTTCTCATTATGACGTTTACGAGTTATCGGTCAACCGATTGTTCGGCACGTTATACGATTTTTAACGTTTCTTGTCTTTGTACCTACAATGGATTATAGTAGCGTTTATGATATAGCTAAGGTCCGCGAAGAATCGATGCAGGAACCTCGCTATAACGTATCGACTACTATATGCTATTTTACATTGTTTAATAAAGTGACTACGTATCGTTTTTATCCCTTCTATCGTTTTTTCCTCTTTTCTTATTTCGATTTCAGCGCGTCGCTCTCTTTATTATTCACTGCTTCCGAACGGCAAGCCGAAACAATTAGATCGAGCGATTGCTTTTGTGATCAAACCGGGAGCTGCCTGTTGAGTTAATTTACCTTCTCATCTGTGTCGAGTTCATCCACGTGGTATGCATGCAGATGCGTCGAAGCGATTCTGCATTAGAGTTCATCTAATCTTTCCCTATTATTAAATTTCATTAAATCTCTGGTAATTCCGTTCGCGCGAATCGTGTTTATAAGAAACCCTATTGTGACTGCATAATTTCTACGCATTCTTCTCATTCCTTTAATTACGATTCAGAAGTATCTTCTTTAACCAAGCTACAATAACTAGTAAATCAATTATGATTAATTATAGTCGTTTCGCAATCGACTCTATTACTCACGATAAACATTTATGATATACTGTCCAGCGTAAGAGCGCAAGTCTAATCGCGACTATCGTAATACCATTTATGTAGATACGCACATCTACATCCATGTTATTTTTATATGTATCAATACATATAAGCGTAAAGACTTCCTGTATGCGTCGTTTTTACTTAGCGTGATTAACCAAGTCTCTGATCCGATGGATTTTTCTCATGACCGATCTACTTACAATGTAATTAGTTCACGTTACCGCGAGCTCAGTCATTGTTGTATACAATATGATCTCGGAATCCTAAATCGATATTCGAAAAACAAGTTGGCGTTCTCGAGCTTAGGGAGGGAAGAAGATTGTAATACTCACAGGGCATCGTCCGTGGCCAATCGATCGAAGGAATTGGCACGTGACGAGTTGAACGTCGAATGAAATAAAATTACCATCGTAACTGCTTCTGAAAACGAAGATGAGGGGAAGACATATTTCTAACGAATACATACATGGTATAATGATGGTTTAGCGACACGCGGGTATTGACTACCGACCAGCCAGCGAGCGAGCGAGCGAGCGAGCGAATCTCCTCTTGTATCTTTTTAAAACGCGCTTCTGTGTCCGAGAACGAACGAGCATCACCGATCTCACTCAGTGACCACAGGAATGTACGTATTCGTTTGACACCCTCGCGCAACGCAGCGTTGATAAATTAAAAAATAAAAGAATCAAGCATCCGTTTTCATTTCTAATTATAATAGCGTTGGAAATATCTAAGTTTATTACATGCGTAGTTGCTGTCGTTACTAGCAAAGAACGATTGGAAACTTGCGATTCCGATATCAATAATTATTTTCACCGTTTTTTGTAAACGGAGAAATGATCGTTTCTCAAATTGTTTGATAAGAGCCGACGAATGTTTTTGAAACGTTTTTTTAACGTTGCTCTCGATTACAGTCGATCGATTCCTTAGCGACGATCGATTCTCAAAGCTGAACGCTCTTGTCGAGAAACCGGAGAGGACGGAGAGAAAAGTACGAATCGTAGAAAGCTTGCTTTAGAATCGATATCTATTACAGCCCGATACGAAGCGGAGAGAATCCGTTCCTGGATGATGATTTCGTGGCGCGGAAGTGGTAGGGGATTCGAAGATTATACTCGTTGGTTCGCAAGCCGAAAGATCAGTTTAGTTTACTATCGGTTTCGAGTCGCATCCTTACAACCCGATTTTCAATACTTTGGTTGGATCTCGCGATCGTCGGTAGCGTACGTCGATAATTGTCAGAACGGAAGAAGAAACGGGGGAGCGGTCATGCTATGTACAATAATCGTGGCGAGTCGTTGAATTGACCGAAATTCATATTGTCACCTACGCTCTTACGATTATCGCATGCGCTCGTGTATGCGCTTCGTCCATTCTTCTAGTACTAGTACATCGTTTGTAGTCAATGCTAACTAAACGCCTAATTTTACTTTATCGCTTACGAATAAACAACGGAGATAAACGAGCGTGACAACAGTGCAAATAAATTTTTAATATGTGTCTCTGAAGCGCATCGAGATATCAGTTTAGGATTCCAAGCGAACAGGTAATTACGTGTCTCAGGTGATTGATATTCGTCGTGTAAGAGAATTTCAATTGTTGATTTAAAGGTGTTGATTTAAAAAGGTGTAAAAGACCGCGATTCGCCGCGGCACAATGAACACAGAGAAAAATAAGTGTTTGACAATGAACTCGCGACCCTAGATCGTGAGCACGTGTTTCCCGTAGATACCTAACCGCTTGCGTTTACATGCGTTTATTTCCCCTACCCTCGACGAGGCTTCACGTACGATCAGTGAACTGTATAATCCCGCCGAAACCGTCGGCTTCCCGTAAAAATAACCGCGGCTAATTTCGAACCAAGGAGAACGACATGCTCTTGTCACGATGAAGTAGACCGCCTCTTTCCGTACGCCGCCGTACGTCTTTTCTTTGTTTTCTCTTCCACTCGCATGTAATCAAACCAGAACTATTCCGTTAAACACGTTACCACCTCGAGTTTACTTGAACAAATGACCAGAATGGATTCTACCTATATCTAAACGTTTACAAACAGACGCAGATCGCAGATATGAACTTGCAAACGAACAGCAGGTATGTACGTGTATTAGACTGCACGTGCTACTTGCATCCCATTTCTTTATTTTTATAACGATATTATTGAATACTGAATTTACAATTTGTCAAAGAATGGTATACAGCACTTGAGGTATAAATATCTCCAAGGAGATGATGAAGCGTCACAAAACGCGTCACGTGCGAGCGCGTTGCAGTTTGAACTATCTGTGACACCTGTGCCAGACTCTATTTCTCCATTATTCGTTGTTTCAGGGAAATCCAAACCACGGGAAACGCAGAAATTGTCAGGGAAGACGACATGAGGTACAAGGTGAGACGAAATTTCGTATTTTATACTCTCGATTGCCAGTGATGATTTATGAATCAGGTATTCGTACTCGATTCGTAATAATCAATTACTCGTATCATCAATAAGTACGTTGTTAACAAATTTTCATCAGTTTTATAATTAAAAAAATTTATAAATAAAGTGTAGCGTGTTGGAAAAAAAGTCTTGAACAATAGCGCATGCGAGTAATAAGAACTGAAGATTGTTTTGTCCTCGCGAGTCATCGAGGAACGAAGACAAAGGCTGTGTGTCTTTTGGCCTTTGTTCTTTTTTCCTGTGTCTACACCCTAATTGATTTCCATATAATATCCGTATGTAAAAGTGCTTATATTATATGCAACAAGCCCCAATGTTGCAATGTTCTTGCTCTCGACGATTTTGCACATGGACATAAAAGAGTGTCTAAAATATTTTTATCGACCCCGAAAACAGACAGAGGAAACGTGCTTCTGTGAAGTTTATGTCTCTCTGTCACATGCAGATGAAAAAAAAAGAAACTCTCCCATTCATTTTGTTTCTCTCAATCAACTCGAGTCTCATTTGGATTGTCAGTCGATTCTCATATTTCTATGATTTTACATAGTTGGAAATTTCGGTTGTCAAATGAATTAATGAACGATTTGTAATCAAAAACAAAATAAATTAAAAAGTGGCAAAAAAGGATAATAGAAGTGACGATCGTTCGACTGTGCGTTACGTGTTGCATCGCAAAGTACCTATCACGTTCACGGTCAATAACGATTCCTTTCTTTCCCGTTTTAGAGTTGACTTTTCGTCTAGCTTGCGCGAAGGAGAACTGGTATACGTTTACGCGTATTGTGAGCTTTGCTCGAGGATCACTTCGATGCCATCGTTATACAACGTTAGGTAATACGTGCGTGGTGCATTTTTTCATTGCAGATTGCGGGGTACATCTACCTTAAAATCGTGAATATTTCCATCGTGTTCGACCAACGATGTGAATAAATTTCCTATCTTTATCCATTCGGATTTTCCCAAAGTTTCCGATAGTTCCTAAAATAGTTTCGACCCACTTGAGTAAAAAAGATGAATGTAAAATTATTTCAAGACCGAAGATTGCAGAATAAGTGTCACCGATTTCAAGGTAACTCCGGAATGATTAACGCCGCAGATTAAATTCATTCATACCTAATTAGAAGATTATCTTCTCAAAGGCGTTTTTACACGTGTTCCAGCTAAATCGTAACGTGCGTAGAACACCAATGGAAATGTTCGTTCTATTTGTAGCTAGCGCGGGAGTACGCGAGAGGATACAATGTTCGAACTGTGTGCTAGCAGATTCATCTGATGCTGCGTGTTAATAAATTGCTTTTTGAGATCAACGTATACTGTGAACTCGCTTCTATCGGAAAACGCGATCAAGTTCCGATGGGAACGGATTCTCTTTCGACTCTCTAGGCTCGTCTACGCAGATTACCTTTGTGCATTCGCATTGGGTTAATCGCATTTCCTCCTTTTTTCTCCGGTGAGGCGACCATTCAACCACGTGCGTCGAATCGCAAACAGAGTGTCAATGCCTCTGATATATGTATAACAGTTTAGATTTGTCGCATGGTAGGTGACTCGACCGATGGAACAAAGAATATCCTTCTTAACTGACGCATTCTTGTCCCCATTAAAATTCAATGGAGAGAAAGATTTCGCGCGATCAAAGTAAACGACTCGTTTGCTAAATGTCTCAAGTTTCTTTATGTGTGCTAACGTAACTGGGTCAAAAAGTTCCGTCGTTCTTTTTGTATCCGAGGACAGGATTTTTATATCGAGACTACTTTGGAAAATTTTAATTTAGTCTATGTTATTCTTTTCGATTTCGTTCTATGAATAGAAGGACCGTCTTTGCCAGGCAAGAATATAGGGTAGAAGTAAGGAAATAATGTCGAGGTAATTTCACGATTCTGGGGCAAGGTGAGAGTAACGATCCTTACGCGTAACTTTATCGAAATGATACTTGGGTGATTACTTCGATCAAAGACGGATTGCGGTTGCAAAGGCAATTTTTCGTAAACGTTTTTTCATCCTCGTCCTCATTTCCGTTTTCGAACTAAGTACATACTGTTTAACGTCCTTCTTTAGCAAGGCTCGATCTTTCACGTTGTTACAGGTAAACGATCCGGACGCGGGTGACGACAAGGAAACAGGGAATGAGATTAAGAGAGATTCCATGCTTCCGTGGTAATTAGCGATTTATTCGTTTATGTATTTGTGAATTTTAATGAGAATGAGAATGAGAATTCCCGTGCTTTGGTGGTACCAAAATGATTACGATCACTCGTTATGCAATATCTTTTTCTGGAATTCTTATTTGCAGCATTTACATTCATTTGCTTAAACTTACTAGCTATACTTACCTACTGTTCGCAATAACATTTTCTGGTGAAGCAAGTGGTAACGTCGACAGCATCTAACTGTACTATTATCCATAAATGGAGAAGTTATGTTCAGTTTAAGTTCATACAAGTTTTATTGTTCGTGGCATGCTCACCTCGTCCAACCGATTATACCAGCTGCTCGGATCTTCTATTACGAATTACGACTTTACATCTCACGTGCAAAAGATGAAAGACGATCGTTTAGTTAAGTTTAGATCAAGTTGAAATTCGAATTTTATACATCTCAGGAACGTCGACTGAATTTTTATACGAGTGCGTAAAATCCGTAGTCTAACGATTACTGTACGTATGTACTTGGAGGTAGTTAAAGATGATGTTCGTCTCTCTATTTACATAAACGGGCGGTACGGACCAAGGGATGAGAACAAATTGGGTGGAAGGAAAACGAAATGGGTGATAATCGTCGGTTTCTTATCGGTAACCGTGGTTGCATTGCTCGTAACGCTGACCTTGCAAACGATCGTTTTCCGCAAGGAGGAGTACACGGAGATGTGCCAGAGCGAAGAGTGCGTGAAAACAGGTACCGCAAAATCACCGTTTCCCCTTCCTCCGCGGTTAGCCTTGCGACGTAATTGAAATATAGAGACATTTCAATATGAATTATCCTTACATAAGGATAATATGTATATGTGTGTCTGCGTTAAATCCTCCGTTTTCTCGTGATAGCGAATCAAAATGATTGATCGTTACAGCTGCTAGGATAATAGAGGCGATGAACAGGTCCGTAGATCCTTGCGAAGATTTCTACAAATTCGCTTGCGGCGGATGGATTGCGAAAAATCCTATACCACAGAGTCAAGCCTCTTGGGATCAATTGAGTCTTCTCAGAGAACAATTATTAAAAAATCTGAGGATATTGCTCGAAGAATCGGAGGAAGGAAATGAACTGAGACCAGTAAAACTAGCCAGGAGCTTGTACAAAACTTGTATAGACACGAGTATGAAAGACCAACCGAATCTATGATTATGTTTCGTCCCCGGAATCTACATGTACTTCATTAAATTAGAAAGAAGAAAGGAGTAACGAAAGTTGTTTTAGATACTGTCGAGGCCTTGGGACTGCAGCCCATTCATCAAACGCTGCACAAACTCGGTTTACCAAAAGATCCACCCTTAAAAGACGAGATCTCACCCTTAGATCTGTCCGAAGTTGCTGGACGAGCGCAAAGAACTCTGGGCTTAGATCTGTTTCTAAATTTATATATTAACGAGGATATACGAAACACCTCAAGAAATAGGATGATGGTAAACTTTGATGATCGAGATGATTCCTTAGGCCACTTGACGCGATTGGACTGACTTTAACAGTTTTCAGATGGAACAAATATCTCCAGGATTCAGCGAGCGCTATTTGTTGGATCCGTTGCTGTTCCAGTCGGAATTGATGGAATACAGGAAATATATAAAAGCTATGATCGAGCTAGCTGGCGTCAAACCGAATAAGAGTGACGACTTCGCAAAGGAAATCTTAGACTTCAGTACGAAAATCGCTAAGGTAAGCGTACTTGTTTGTGTGTCTTAATGGGACAGATATCGGTGTCTGTCGGTGTTTTATATTTTATACAGATCATGGCAACGCCGGAACAGAGACGCAGTTCGACTCATCTTATTCATGATGTAACGATCAACGACTTGCAGCAATTAACAGACTCACATGTGCAACAGGTGATAAATCGGAAGCTTGAATTACACCTTACATCATCCATCACGGAAAGACACTTAAAATTAATTAATTAATTAATCGTATTGAGTTTAGTGGAACTGGACGAGGTATTTGCAAACTGTGTTCAATAACACGAATGTGACGATAGACACCGGAGTAGACCGCGTTTTCGTCATGGATCTACACTATTTGCAAAAGTTACCCGAACTTCTAGCTACTACCCCTAACGCTACGATAGGTAAACATCCCCTAAACGAGTAACTATATATATATATGATACTCCTACTTTGTATTATAAAAAAATATACATTAACGGTTTCAGTACGATTCGTATGGTGGAGCGTTTATTCGACGGTCGCTCCCTTGACGCTACAACGATTTCGCGACCTCGGCTTTCAGTTCTCGCAAAAAGTTCTCGGCCTGAAGGAGAAGCTACCGAGATGGAAGTCCTGCACTGGGAACGCGAACGCAAACTTCGGCATGGCTCTCAGTTACGTTTATGCGCGTCGGAACTTCGATGATCGAGCTCGAAAAAAGGTTTACAAGACACACGTGATACATAATATTCCTCTTAACGAATACGTGTAAATTATACGAAAAGAAATGAAAGATGGGTGGATTTTCAGGCTTTGGAAATGTTGTTAGACATTCGAGCGGCATTCGATGAAATGGTTGTAGAGTTGGACTGGATGGATAGTGAAACGAAGGCTCGCGCTCATAGAAAATTAAATGCAATGAGACCCTTTGTCGGTATCCCGGAATGGATCAACAATTCCACGAAATTGGATAAATTTTATGAAGAGGTAAGCAGTTAACAGAGGCTTGTCTCGTTTGCGAATCATAGAAAGTACGAGGTAGAATTCTATGTTACAGATGGACGTGATACCTGGTCGATTGTTCGACACATTTTTAATGCTTACTAACGTTGCTATTAAAAAGAGCTTAAATAGTCTGCGTAAAAAACCGGACAAAGACCGATGGATAACGGCCGGCACGACGGTAAACGCGTTTTATAGCGCAACATTGAATTCAGTTAGTAAGTTTTTCAAAAATATCTCCCGAGACTATATACACTAGATATTATCTTCTATTATTCTTTAATATCCTATGATATTCATTTCTTGTTTCGCAGCTTTTCCAGCTGGTATTTTACATCCTCCGTTCTACGGAAATGGATTGGAGTAAGTATATTGTTCAGAGATGATTCCAATCTTTTAAAATATGCTGTCAGTGCTTAAGATATCGAACATATTCTTCCATAGGTCTATCAACTATGGTGCCATGGGCGCGATCATGGGACACGAGCTTACTCACGGATTCGATGATCAAGGTAAGTAAATGAATAGTGGTGGATCAAATTGGGAACTATTCGTGCACGTGTCGCAGGTCGCAGGTACGATGAAAATGGAAATCTTCGGCAATGGTGGAGTAATGAAACGTTAAAACATTATCTCGAGAAAGTTGAGTGTATAATCGACCAATATAGTAGCTATCATTTATCGGAATTGGGTAATAATTTAACAGTGAGTATCGCCCTTCTCATAGAAAAAATGAGAAATATGTCAAGGCAGGTGAGCGTAAATTGACCATATAACGAATATGTTTGATACTACTTAGGTCAATGGCTTTAACACGCAAGGAGAGAACATAGCGGACAACGGTGGAATACGAGAGGCTTACAGAGCATATCAAAGACTCAGGACTAGGAATGTTGAACGACAAAGTTTGCCCGGTCTTGTCGGATATACCCAAGAGCAATTATTTTTCTTAGGTTTTGCCCAAGTAAGTGATCACAGTTAATTTTAGGGTTTGACGTTTATTAAAAAGTCTTAATTCTTCCTAAATTAAAATATCACTCGATCTCATCGAACACATAACCGAGAACTCTATCTTCGTCGACGAGTGAAAAATCATATTCGTTACAAAATAAAAAATATCTCCAACTATTATATTTCAAACGATTCGGAGACATACCTGTATACTTAAGTGTTGTACGCAGTACACGTTGCGTGACGAATTCTTGAGAAGTATATTCCACAGGTCTGGTGCGGTAATTACACGAATGGGTCTTTGAAATCTAAACTGGTGGAGGGTGTCCATGCACCGAATCACTTCAGGGTCATCGGCACTCTATCGAACAACGTGGATTTCGCGAATGCATGGAATTGTCCATCTGGAAGTCCCATGAATCCGTCTCGCAAGTGTATTCTCTGGTAGAGTAGTATGTAGTGGTAATTAAAAGTAAGAAGTGCGTCTTTATCGAGAGCCTACGAATTTTTGTTCTTTACAAAAGACAATAGGCTCTTGCTCTGGGCTTTGCACACCGTACTATATCCGTAGTATAATTACGCGAATAGTGAAAGAGATTGCAAACAGACTGATTCGTAGGAACCAGCGTGAACTTAATGTACGCTTAAACGTGAATATTTTCTATTAGAATCTTCTGTAAATATTATACAGAATGGAAATATGACTTTTTTTTAAACTGACAGTGTGTCGAACGTCGTATCATTGTTTTTTCTTCTTTTTCTTCAGAATTGCTCTGTCTTCTGTTGTGTCCCTTTTCCTCTTATTCGAAGAAACCACTTTGTTATTTCCCATCGACATTTCCCGTGACTTCACTTGTTCTGTCATTTTTTCACTCGCTTTCTTTACTTTCTTAAAAGGTACATTATTATTTTCCTCTAAAGCAGTCAATCTCTTCTTCTTCTTCTTCTTCTTCTTCATATTCGAGACATCTTCTTCACTCTCAACGTTATTTTTATTATCCTCTTTCTTTTTCTTTTTGGGTTTACCTTCATCGATAGAATCTCCTGCTTTTTTCTTCAAGATAGATTTATTTTTTTTACCAGTTGGAACATTAGCAACCGGCTCTTCTTCTATACTTCTCTTCTTCTTTGATTTCTTCTCTGGTTTTCGACTACTGATTGATGATACCTCCCAGTCACCTTCTTTCTCAACGATCACTTCCTGACGAAGTCTAAATTTATTCGTTTTCTATAAAATATAAACAAGTGATGTTAATAAATACTTCCTTTATAAACTTTATATTTTATTAAAAGAACGTACCTCTTGTTTTTCCTCTTCTAATTTTATTTCCGTGTCTCGCGTTACATTGTCATACAGCATCGCAAGAGACAAACAGGTAATTCGAGCGCCGCAATTAACCTTTTGCAGCATATCTAATTTATGTCTACTATATCTCCATAGTTTAATTTCGCCAGAACTAGACGCAGTAACTAAGAGATCGTCCTTAAAAGCCATACATTTCACTCGTATGTCATGCGCAATCGTATCTACGGTTTCTATAGACTTTTCTAGATCATAGAACTTAATCTGACCATTCTCTAAGCCTACCGCTATTAAATCGTCTTTCAAGAATTCAACGCAAACGATCTTTGAATCGAATTTAATTTCGTTATCGACACCCGCTAATTCTACAGAATATATGTCTATTCTTTGATTCACAGCCAGCAAATATTTTTCTCCATTCGGGCTCCATTTAAGGACATTTACACTTTTAGCATCTAATTTTAACCTTGGCACTAAATTCGTGGCATACGCTTGTCTTCCCTTGACCAGATTCCACGTTCGGAGGATACCATCCGCGCCTGTGGACAATGCTATTTTTCCTGTCGGATGAACGGCCAGAGTATTAACAGCTAATCCCTTGTGAGGCTTTAACCAATGTTTTTCCATTTGCCAGTTTCCACATCGAATCGCAGCCATGGTGCCATCGTTACTGCATGTAAACAGGTGAGACGCTCCAGGGGTAAACGTGATGCAATTAACAGTGTCTGTAGAATGAATGAAAAATAATTTATTCCTTTGTACTCTCGATTTGTTTACACGTACAGAATGACTCTGTACAATTACGCGTACCGTTATGATGCATCAATCTGCCAGATTCAGCTCTACGATGTAAATCGTACAGGTAAACAGAATCGTCTGCCCCAGAGGAAGCTAGATAATGTTTTTTACTCGCAACGCTACGTATACTACTGGTGTGACTGTGAGTAGCGAAAGTCTTCTCCATTTTATACTCCTGCAAATCCGTGATTTCGTATATATTATAAATTGCGCATAAAAAAATTAAATTTCACGGATCGAACAGCACGTATTTACTACGTTGGGCATAACCCACAATGCGATAATGAAAAACGTGTTCACTTACATTTACTACATTGTTTACTTTGTAACCGAGCAAGTATTGCTCGTACGTTCCTACGACTATCTCGAATGGATCTGACGGCATGATTGGATAAAATAAACGATGTCGAACGTTGTTACTTTACTCGCCGGATCGAGTTGACGCGCACGTGCTTTCTAGAACCTGACACTTGAAACGGAACCCACGCTACTTTGCTACTACTTGGCTGACGATAGTGACGATGCAGACCGGTTGGTTGGGTTGACTGTGGTTGACGACGACGACCAACGACGACTGTTATGGTTGCGTTGCCGCTTGCTGCGAACGGTAACCAAGCCAGAGAGCAATCGAGAGATTCCTGGGTTCTTGTATAAGCTACGGTGGAATCCACGTTCGAGAATTGGCCTGTTGGTGCAGCACTTGCACAGGAATCACGAAATTCCGAGCGTGAACACTCTCGTTTCCTCTCCGTCTGTATACTTAAAACGAATGTTGCAAAGATTACGTTCGATTGTTTCTAACTGTCTATTCGAGCGTCGTTGCACGGTCGATAATTTGAGATAGAAATGGAAAGAGACGGGAGAAAGGAGAACGGTAGACTTCACCTCATGATGTGATACCTATCAACCTATCTATAAAATCCTGCGTAGCATCGTGATTGTGATGGTTCGTTCACACAGTGGACGATCGATCCGCAACAATCGCGATGCATGATCCGATGTGTTAGTAGTGAGTGTCCGTATCGTCCGTATCGCATGTGCATATATATCTATCCATGTGGCAAATTGTGGGTACACATAGAGATTTGTTGTTCCCCACGAGCCTGTTCATGGATATGTACGTTTATCGCATCCGTACAAGTTGTTCTGCATCTGAAAACCGCTGCACCTTCGGCATCGAACGTGATCTGAGTTCGTGCTGGTCCTTTGACACGATGACACGATTACGCCACCGAAACGTGATCTTTATGTGAATGAACCCCTTTAAAAAGGATCGTACGTTTTTACCGGGTGTGATTTAAACAAAACTTGCCGAACGGGAAAAACGCATCTACGAATAAACGCGATGAAGGGACCGACGAATTTTTATATCGATGCTGACTTTATTTTTTAGAAATTCACCGTAACTGGGAGTGCCGCTAGTTCGCAGTTGAACATGCTCCGAAAGGACTGGAGTGAATTTTACGTTATATGCGAAAAAAGATTGCTTCTTTACTTTTTAAAAGCAGTATGTTATACCGAACGATTTTTCATTTTGGAATTCCGAAGCGAACGTCTTTATGTAAACGACATGTGAACTCTCGATTATAGAGAGCAGAGACAATGTATCGGTGAAACTGACATGAAAATGTTCTGCGGTGTTAAGTGGCCTTTGTGATGTATTGCGAACGGTGCTTAACCTAACTTTTCGTCGACGCTTCTACACGGCGTTTTCTTGCGAGTAATGTTCTTTCGATAACGAACCTGCTGCCAAGTGATAGTAAATACTTAGCAAAGGCTTGTCATTCACTATATTATCCTCGTTTCTTCACCGACTCATCGAGCGCGAGTCTCTTTTACCCCTTTCTTACGCGTTTTTCATTTTTAGTAAAATATGTATCTGTGATCATTACTTCATAAAATCTTGGAAATGCTTTCTATGAGGAACGCTTGCGGATCGTCGCGAACGCATTACATTTAAATATACAGTATTTGTGCTTGTACGATTTAACGCGTGGTTTTATGTTTACCATGTTTGAATCAAAATTTAGGTTTATGTTCATTTTTTTCTCATTTCGTTGATCGTCATTCATTTACCTTGCAGTGTTCGTACAGCGCATAGGTCTTTCTTGATATTTGTTCTACGGATACCAATCAAATTTACCAATATACATACGTGTACATATTTTGTATCTACTTGTAACTAGTGATCTACTACCATCTCTGCAATCGTTTTCATTAGTGATGTTAATAGCCAATTTTATTATCTCATTACCGTCAAAGTTTCTCGCGTGGAAAAGTTAATTTAAATAATACGGTAACTGTGCATTCTTGCCTTTGTGCTTCTGAAGTCTCTTAGGTAGTCTTATTATTATTTGTAGTCAATGAACTGTTGGGTCAAGTACTTGTATAGTGTTTATTAGTGTAGTGTGTCGTGTACTGTGTGCCAGATTATGCCAAGTTCTGTTTTCATGGAAATTACAGAATAATTGTCATATCGGACTATGATCATGATGATATTATTGTCAAATAATAATTGTGCAACGATCAATTGCCAAGAAAGATGAAAACTTGATGAGATGGATGACAGCAAAAAGGACACATGCTCTGGGAATTAATGGGTATATGCTTTTCCTGCAGGAGACCTACAGGCAGCAGGCTGAATAATAAAATCTCAGAGCATATCGCAGTATCTGTAACACCCCTCCATGTTTGTCTGGAGGAACAAAGAGGACCAGAACTGGGCTCTTGTGAAGCCTCGGCTTGGTAGCTACAGGTAAACCTCGTGAATTACCAGAAGCTGACTCTGCTCGAGAGTTTCTATCCTTGATAAAGTGATCTTTTGTTTAAGGCAAGAAAATTATTTGACAAGCAGAAAACAGAAAAAAGGTGTGGTAAAGAAGAAGAAGTGGAGACAGAAATCATTGGAATCAGAGCAGGGGATTTGAAGTTCGGTCAGCCAAGTATGTCTAACACTATCAGTAATATGAAAATGACAAACCGTATCAAAGGGATGGTGAGCAAACATCGACGGCGTTTCACACAGGACGGTTTTGATCTCGATCTCACATGTATCTTTTTTATAATGTTCGCCGACGTTAACTGAATTCTCCAGATGTTAATGATAATATTGCTATGTTCCTTAACTATGAATATTTTACAATAGATATAAAAGAAAATTTAATAGCCATGGGTTTCCCAGCTGAGAAATTAGAAGGAGTATATAGAAATCATATAGACGATGTTGTTAAATTGCTGGAATCTAAGCATAAAGATCATTACAAAATTTACAATCTGTACGTATGGTACACGCATGTTAGTTTTAAAATACCAATTGTAATGACTCGTACGTTTCAGATGTTCTGAGAGATCTTACGATTCTAAGAAATTTAAACAGAGGGTAGCTACGTACGCGTTTGATGATCATAATCCACCGATGTTAGATCAAATCAGACCATTTTGCGAAGACGTGCACGAGTGGCTGTCGCAGCATGAAGAAAATATTGCTGTAGTTCATTGTAAAGCGGGTAAAGGACGGACAGGCGTAATGGTGTGTTGCTATCTTCTTCATACTAAACAATTTTCCACTGCCACAGACGCCCTTAACTACTATGGAACTCAACGGACGCTCGATAGGTGATTAAACTTTGATTTATTTCCGGTTCCGTGCAATTACATTTAATCGATTGTTCATTATTCAGGAAAGGGGTGACAATACCTTCACAGAGGAGGTATGTGCATTACTACGCGACTCTCGTACAAGAAGGGTTAAATTATCAACCAGTTACGTTGTTATTACGGAAGATACAATTGGATCCAGCACCCATCTTTCACGGAGGTCAAGGATGTAAGTATCGGCAGATATGAGAAATGAGTTAAACGACAAATGGGATTACACGCTTAGTTTTTATGCATTCTAGATTTGCATTGCGTTATATCAGAATCGAAAAAGAAGGTATTTAGCTCGGAGATAGTGGAAGTGCGGAAAGGAATGAGCACTGTGAGTATTTCTTTGACACACAGCGTGGCATTGACCGGAGATATACGAGTGGATTTCTTTAACCGGCCAAAAATGAAGCGAAAGGTACATTCGATTACGTGTTTCGCAAAGTTACAGCAAAGTACGTGCATTGTTACAAAGAGACCGACACATTTCGATTCGTCTGCGTAGGAGAAGCTATTTCATTTTTGGTTCAATACGTTTTTTGTGCGGGACTACTTAACGCCGGAATACGATAACGGGGAGTTACCAGTCGAGCGATCGACGAGGGCATTGAGTTACGATGGTGCAACTATGGAATTACCGATGGTCATACCACCCATGAAACCCAGAACCGGGTCGCTAGCTACTCTCGGACCTATGCCACCTACTCTTCTTTTAAGTATAGATAAATGGGGTTTGGACGACGCACATAAGGATATACAACATAAAGTGTATAGTGAAGATTTTAAAGTAAGTCCAAGTTCTTTTTTCCCTTGTCATTCAATCGGTGTTTCGTACGAATATCTTCATGTTCATGTCGATCGATCGTTTTTACAGGTTAGCTTATTTATGCATCGTATGGGTGGTAGTATATCGCAGGCGGTACCGGCGACGGCGGATGGGACAAAAGAGGGTATAGAAATAGAAATCGACAGACCAGACAGTCCGAGCGAATCGAGCGATGGAGACAGCAGCGATTCCGACTCGACCGGGGATTCATCCGGTGACGAGGACGGTGAATCTGGTGAGTCTTCTGCATCTCTGATGGTGAATCACCATCATCTTACACACAGCAGTAGCCGTACACATGTTAGTATTCGCCAACGAGCTAGTCTCAGAGAAACTGCGAAGGGTTTACTTTCGTGTGGGGATAAAAGTAGAAGTAGTCACCGGCAAAACACTGGCAACGTGAAACGTTCTTCCGCTCTCGTACGTTCAGCCACTTTAGATACATAACAACGTTTTATCTGTACGTTTCATATACACACGCATATGTTCTATTATACTTTGTACTTAAAACGATGAGTTCTCTGAACTGGTATTCGAGCTTTACAACAAGAGTTTATGTGAAAACGAATAGTTCGTACTGTTAATTACTCCTTTGTCATGCCAGCATGAAAAGAAAATAGCATTCAATCCGATGTCAAATGCATAGATTTTACTTAACGTCCTCTATTGCATAGTATCCTGCGTGAAAAATATTTCGGTTGGACATTTATCTTATTTTGTTTCCAAGGTACCAAAGTTTCAGTTCGAGCTGTCGACTTTACGTTTCGCACAAAATTTTTCAGTTGACCGTGCGTCTAATAGACGATGTGAAAAGTTCTGTTATTCCGAGACGATTAAGAAGAAATTGGAATTTTTTATCGTACTTTGCTTAGTGTATATTTGTTGCAAAATATTATATTAAGAAGTTCCAGTATTCAAGTGGTTACATTTTCATTGTTTAGTAAGAGTTATTATTGGATATTTATTTCTGATTATCTGAAGAAAAAAAAAAAAAAAAAAAACGAACCTGTCTACATATTAATGATCGTTATATATGTGTTTACTTTTCATTAAACTTTTAAAGTATTTCGCTTCAGTGGCTGTTCGAAATTGTGGAATTTGTTGTACATGTATCATGTCGTAAAAGGAAATATTATTTTCTACATTCGTAGGATTATTTAATAACATACTATGTGTGTCAGCAACTAGTGTACATATTTGTTTTAGAATTTTACAATAAAATCAATTTTGTAATAGATAATTGACCAATATAATAGGATGTAGAAATTTAATCGTAACAGTTCGGTCTTACTCCGACTGTTCATGGCAGAGAACGGTTTAAATAACGTTTACATGTATAGGAAATTTCATTTTCTCGATCTTTTTAGGAATATGTTAAACGATTAACAGGCTGTGCGATTTTCTATACTTTTATCCTCTTTGATATCTAGTAAAAGATTCTCATATTTGATATCGAAATACACTTAATCTCTATTAAGCTAACGCGTCCTATTGATTAAATTATCATATATACGAACATTTAACAATTGCTCGATTGAGCAATATTAACTCAGTTAGATTTTGGACGTTTGTTCTTTTACGTCAATAATAACGATCTTTTGTTTTATATTTTTAAAATCACGATACCTAGAATCGATGTGAAATCTAAGAAATTTTAGTGAAATTACATAAAATTCAGTTTTAATCAAGCGGTCTTAAAACTGACATTTTATGCCGATTCGTTGTTTCCTTGTATAATTAATCATTCGTACACGATTCGAATTTAATTCGAAGATCATTCATCGAGTTCGAAACTTGCGATTACGAATAGGTATGTACATATGTATGTAGGTATATGTATACGCATCGCGTATTAATTTTACGAGAGCAAGACTTGGAAAATCGGTATGCAAAGTACTGGAAAATTCAACGGTAAACGGGATTAGGTGTTGAGAAGATTTTTTACTTTTCGGGAAAAATCGTACTGCGTGTTTTTTTTTTATAGTTCCTTTTTGAATTTCTTCACCTTGTTAGATCGAAGTATATGTACTTATACGTACGTAATTAGTTTTGACGTGCATGAGTATGCGAATGTCTAGGCGAGTCTGGTGGATTATTGTTGTCTGAAACGCAAGTGTAATCGAGGTTCTATCCATCTTGTCTTTCGGTGTATATTTAAGTACATACGTATACGAAACGAATAATGAATTCTGATTTTTAGCTTTACTCTTGAATTTTTATATGCATGTTAGTAGCTCGTATGTTGTAGTTGTTGGATATCTGTAATATATGAAATTCTGATACACAGCATCTCTAAGTACTATCTACACATCCTGTAACGATTATTTTGTGATACTATTATAATTATTAATCAAATATCGTTGCTATATCTTTATATGTACTCTTGTTCTTATTACTAATCATCATTATTGTTATCATTATCATGGACTTCATATCATCATTACTACGACCACCTCCGTTATTATCATCATTATTATTTTAATAATTATTATATTATATTTTATTATTATAATTATATTTTATTATAACTATTATACTATTATGTCCAACATTGCTACTGCTGTTTTATTGTTATGTTCAATATCACCATCAGAGACAATTTTATTATTATTATTATTATTATTATTATTATTATTATTATCATTATTATTATTATTATTATAAATAAAAGTTAGCGGTTTTTAAAATCGTAGTCTTATATTGCAAGAAAGATGTACTCCTGTAACAAAATATTTTAAGGAAGTTATTATAAGTACACGCATCACAGTTTATATGAAAGTAGTTATATTTTAGTATTTTCTACTTCCGTCTTCCGATTCTCTATGTAGTTCAGACTTCTCTTTCGAAACTATTATCTATATTTATAAGATTTTTTTTTGTTTCTTTTAACGCTCGCCCACTACTACTGGTTCCCCGCTCCTCCCCTCTCTATGTTTCTACTACTTATGTATTATCTTCCCTTTCCACCGATATATAATAAAACATGTGTCTACATGGTTTGCAATGCTTATTTCTTGTACATTTCCTTATTTTACGGGAGGACCACGAAGCGCTTTGACTCGTCAATCTTTGGCTCAAAAGTTGTGCGTATTGGAAGCACATTGTAAAATGATAATCACACATGACTGCCTCTCTGGGATCTCGTTGGAATCTCTTGCGCTTACTTTTTCCACTTTGACGACCTTTTCTTCTTGCGTGTCTGTCACAATGTACGGTATATAGTTTAGCGAACGCGTATCTTGGAATGTGCTTCCGTGGGATACAAAGTTTGAGCTTATCGAGTCATGTTACAGCTGCGAAACGGAATCTCCTCTGTTTCATTCATTTAGATCTGTAGAGTATTCAATTTTCCTATTTGACTACTCTTTCTTGCTAGAGTGTTATTAGGAAGCATCTCGAATAATATTCTCTGGTTTCAGTGAATGCTGTACATCTTGATATTTAATCGATGCATTGGCTTTATCGTTTCCTCTCCCTCTTTCGCATGTAGGTACACTGGCAAACATATAAATAGGTGTACATACGAGATTGAAGAATCGTTTATCATCTCTTAATTACAAGAAACTTATTATCAGGCCAGCTAGGAATTACAATCTCTAATCAAGTACTCAACCGATACTGTTTTCTCCTATTTATGTGCTTGCGACTGTGCGAGGTAAAACGCGACGAACTTGATCACGGCGGTGGAGTGTTGAGTAGCCTGCGACCGATTCGCATATTTGAGCTATATTCGCAAAGTGAGGAACTTTTTGTAAGAATACGTGCGTGAACGACGAACGGCAGTGAGCAAAAGAAAAGAAACGAGAGAGGACAGTTCCCACTTCGTCCTCCCTCGCACTGTGTACACCTTAGATCGTAATATCGCTGTTAAGAATTGTTTTATGTGAAACGATGTGCACCTACTGACCAAATGCGTCTCTTCTGTATGTCTGTTCACCGACTAGTGGACATGGACCAGCGCGTTGGACGATACCGGCTTCTCTCAGATGGTGGAATGATAGACGTTTTGTGAGTCCGTCGCGCCGATCATCGTCGTGTCGTCCCTCTGCTGCATATTCTGCAATCCGAACGCCGTCGCGCTGCGCCGTTCGCGCGGACGTTACAAACTCGACTACCGCCGTCTCTTTATTATTATTATTATTATTATTATTATTATTATTATTATTATTATTATTGTTGTTGTTAACACCATCGATGATCGCTCGAGCGTTACGCCGATCGACTACATACAAACACACACACACACACACACACACACACACACACACACACACGCGCGCGCGCGCGCGCGCGTACATAAACGAGACAGCATACAGTGATCGTGTCCTTTCTACGACTACCGCTGTTAGATCGTGCATGCGTTAGATTACGCATAACGAATAGATTCGACGAGCGAAAGCAATGTTTATATCGACGCAGAAACTTCGAAGGTTCGACCTCTCTTTTCTATTGACAACGTTTTAATAGCTTCCGTTTTGGAGATTCTTTAGCAAATCGTTTTAACTCCACGACGATGGGTTGCGTCTTATGCATAATTGAGCGTAAATACGAACGAACGTTTAGTTTATAATATTTTATAAGCATCATCGAAGAACTGGAAATTCTCTGAACGGGGTGTCATTGAAGTTGTTTTGAAAAGAAACAAAGCTGCGCGTTGTGGGTCGAAGAGACGAATGTAAGCTTTAAGGAGAAGTTCCAAGTTCGTGTGTAACAAGGATGACTCGCGATTTGTATAACGCGTATCGTGGGCTCGTCGAGGGATTAATAACGATATCGACGTTATCATTCCTTGCGAAGCTACTGAGATTTTTAGCCGACTTTTAGTCCCGGGTACTTGAGAGTATATGGAACTTCGGCCACAGTGTTTGAACGGATGTAGCCGTGCTGGACCATAGGCCGAGAAAGAGAAAGTGTGTTTATATAGATTACGGATCCAGATAGGAGTAATACGCTGTAAAAAGGAGCAAGATTATTTTCGTAACGTTAAATAAATTGTAAGTCAATAAGAACGATAATACGACAAGAGAACAACAGTATCAGCAATATTCCAGGAGAGCCATCACGACGACGACGACGACGACAACGACGGTGGTTTTCTTCCCGTTTTGACGACGGTCATGTTTGTTCGATGAGTTCCCTTTTCTTATCATCGAATCGATACAGGCTGCGTTTCATTTTACGAGTAATTTCTGTGATTCTCTGTCACGCCGTCGTCGGTACGATAATTTATATATCAGTAGGTTTTCCAGTCGTTGCAAATTTTCCGAAAATAGTGTATACACGTGACGAATAATCCTATCTGACGAATCCTGCGATCGAATACTTGTGCGCATGAAGAAAGGGAATGTACCGAAGCGAGAACGTAAATAAGAAAAAAAAAAAGGCGGGGGGAAAAACGAGACGCGCGATGTACAGTGTATCATCTTTAAATCGTTGAGATATTACATAAGTAACAAGAATTTGCCAGTGTAATCTTCTGTTTTGACTTACTGCGCATAAAGATCTACGCTCGCTATTAAAAAAGAGTGAAGATTTTTGTCAAAGACTTTCCGATGAGTGGAAATATAGAGCTGAACGAATGGAGGAGGGATCTCAGTTTAATTTCTGTTCCTCTGTATTCTACGAATGGGGATATTAAACAGCCGCTTGCCATCGAGCTGATTTTTTACGGCCGTTGTTCGTTTATGATACCGAAGGCTCGAATCGCAATGACGGAATAAATCTAGGTATCTGACATCTAGGATGACTATGCTGTTGTTTTCTTTTAAAAAACGTTTGTAGTACCAAACTCTGGTAATGTGGATGATTTGTCGGTAGCGCGAATTCTTTCGATTTGTTAGCACGTACGCATGCAACAAGTATCGTTTCTGACGCCGTCCTATCCTAACTCATAGCTCTAAATCGCGATACGATAGTCTACAACTCGTTGCAGTTTCAGTTTGTTCAATATAACGCTTTTGGAACAAAGTATTTACTCCTTTGCACTCGGGGGATATTTCGAATTATCTAGCATAGATCTCAATCGTGACGCCTAGATTTATCCGTGAATGTTGCGCGAGATTCATCATTAAAATTTGAAACACGCGACATTCGTGTTTGTTGTCTGCTCGTTTCCCAAAACTTTTTTTTACCTCATTGACGAGTTACGAAATTTCTTTGGGAATCGGTACGATGATATCGTGTTGCCCTGCGAAATTCGACCGCTTCGTATGAAACGCGTCGAAGACAGTTTCCGTAATCTCGCTTCCTGAATTGAAACTCGGAACTAATAAGTAATTTGTAATCACATGTGTTTCATATTCTTTTCGTCATCGGAACGAGGTTTACGATTAGAAGAGTGAATGGAAAAAGGGTCTGAGAAAAACGAGAGAGAGAGAATGCGCGTGCGTGAGGGAAGAAGAGAGTACATATGCGAGTACGTGTGTGCGTGGGGGAAAATAGCACGAAGCGGACCGCATAAATGTTCGCGTTTATCTCTAATAGCAAGATTCGGATTTATCTTGAACGGATTAGTAAATTTACCTCGCTCGCGCAGACTAATATTATAAAATTAGTCACACCTATGGTTCGTCGAACTTTAACCGTTAAACTTGCTAGCAATCGTTGCGATACCTACGTTTTTTACCCGCTGAAAAGTAAACGAAGATGAAGGTAAACTTACTAAATACGTTTTCTCTCACCCACCCAATAAATAATTACGACGGGATACGCGTATGTACGGCGTATGTACTGTACGTATAATTGTTACTCCGTGTGACGTACACGCTTTTCGAACACGTATTTTTTCTTCGTAAACGAAGCTCATGAAATACAGTTTTTTATAAGTGAAACACCTCTTTAAAATTAACTTTTATATGATTCATGCGGAATGTTCAAAATATAAATAAGATGCATTATTTTCTCTGTGATATTGTATACGAATATATATATAATTATCCACACATTTTCATCCTCCTTCCAAATTAATTATCTATTTAAAAATAAAAAGAAACGACAGAAAATTAGTTAATCGAGCATCGGAGGACGCAAGTAGAACATTTCCTCCTTTATTCTTTACACGATTGTTTTTTCGTTGTCATACTTTCGCTGCTCTGCTATTTCTGAAAAATTCTCCTCGACGCTCGAATCTCTTTTTAACAATCATTTTTGTTTGTTCCTATGATACATCCTAGGAAACACCCTGCATACGGTAGGAAACGAGGAGAACCGAGATCCTTGCCAGTCGCAATCGCAGAAATTAAAATTCTTTTACACAGGTAAGAATGCATCCGGTCATTTATTATTATTATTATTATTATTCGAAAATTCTAGTAGTATAGTTCTCGTTGTACTTAGGACGGCTGGCGAATTTATTCTCATTTCGCGAGCCGCGTTCGTATCTAAGCACCAATTTTTCAGCATCCAGTTTACATTGTAATTCACGGCTGACTCTGCTTACAGGGGAGTCGACGTATTTGTGATTTTCGAACTATAAACCGACTCAACGAGGATCGATAGGAGTTAAAACTTCTTCCCAGAAACTCTCGGTCCATCCAACGACTCATCGTTTAATCGTGAACGAAAATCAATCAATCGATGAACAACAAATTCTTGCTGCGCCTGCGTATCTTCTTAATTGCTGGTACAATTTTATGCTTTTTGCGTTTCTCTTTCTCTTTTCCCCTCCGTCATCCCGACCTCTTTTTCTCTTTAGTCGTTTTTATTGGATTTAGGATCGTTCGTTTACGTAGTAATTTTTAAGAGAAAAAAAGGACAGCGAGATCGTTTCTGGCGAATCACTGCAGGAAGAGACTGATCATGAGTGAAGAGAGAGAAGAGACGCGATTCTTGAGACGTTCACGTTGTATTCGTACTATCAGCGTTAGCTGTTTTTCTTTTTTGTAATTCCTTGCAACTCTCTATCTGCTCTTGTTTCCGCTTTCTTAACTTGCAATGAAATTCTTTTTATACTCCTAATTGACGTACAATGATTTTATTCGCACCGCGAGAGTGCATCGGTTTTAAATATATGATTTGACACTGTTTCTTGCTTATGTTCGAGCGATAGTTTTATTGTAGCTCCATGAGCGAGTCGCGTTCGTCCAACAAGATTATATTTTATATTGCGTTAGGATCGTAGTTAGCAATTTATATCGTTTCTCATTTCGCGGTAGATCTCGATCCTGTAGCTTGTTTCACTGAAGCGTTACAAGATTTATCGTCGAACTGGCGTTTTTTTTTTTTAAAAACGATTCGATAAAGCGTTTAATTTGAATGCTTTAAAAATTATCAAACCGTAGTTGAAAATACTTGGAGGTGACGAGAGACGACGCGTAGACGTTTCTTAGAACGCGGGTCGCGTGTCGTCGGGGGTGAAACTTTTAAATGTAAGTTTAATTGCAGTAAAGACTATTTATAGCGATTTTTCAATATTCTCAAACACAGGAAGTACAAAGTAACACGAGAGGATCTCAGACTTTTCGAAATGTAATTGCGTTTGGTTTTTAAGAATGCGTAATGATTAAGATATTTTGTATAATCGTTGTTAAGTGATTAGTTCGTTAAAAAAAAAAAAAAAAAGGAGTATTAGGCGTATTGTGCTGACGTTTCGTCGATCTCTTACAATGTCGCCGGTCAGCTGACGCGTGAAGAAAATAATGAAATTAGGAATATGCCAGGCGACGTACGAGCGCGCGATTAAATATAACGTTGCATTAATATTCTCGAATATTCTTCGACATGACTGAACTTTATTTCAAATACGTTGAATGTGTTGTTTGTGTTACAAAATATTCCAAATACAACGCAAGTATTTACACTCATGACGTAGCGTACGATTGTTAAAAATGCAAAAAACAACGCTGTCGTTAAATACGTTCGAACGTAAAAAAAGTATCGCGGCTACAATTGATTTTTGCGTCTGATTTTTACAATATTTACATAGACGGCTCCAGATAATTGGAATATTTGGTAGCGACGAATATTTTTTAAAAACAAGTTATATTACAATATGTAAAGGAAAATATCGTACAATACAATAGAAAGGTACAAGTACTTTTCGTACAATACAATATTTCATCCAACGCGAGAGAAATATCTTAATTTTGAGTTGTCAGCGAATTTGGCGAGATGTTGAAATGAAATCGGTTTGTACACGTCATGGTACGAGGCTGCGTCTTTTATACTGTTTTACCTTCCTCTGCCTCTTCCCCGGCTAAAACCGCCTCTTCCACGACCGGCAACTTTACCTTTTGGTGGCGGCGATTTCGGTCTGAGAGCTTCGATACGTTCGGTGCAACCGGTGGTTATCTGACCGCTCGCGAAATAGCTCGTATACAGGTCCGCGTTAAAATTCGTGTTAGTCAGTTCGGGTCCTACCGTGAGCCATCCCGGTCGGATTGTACTGTCTCTACCGAACAAGTGCAACCTGTATATGATGAAAAATGCGATTATTCTTTGGCGTCCATAATAGAACAGAATTAACTAGATTGCCAGCTATCCTTTACTTACCGCCGTCGACCAAGGCAGAAGTGTTCAATTATGTGGAAGATCTCGACGGGCTTTTCTATAGAACCGTAATCAGGCTCCTCTGATATGATCAGATCTATGTCGACATTGGCGTGAATAAAATCACCGTCCGTAGATCGTCTCACTGTTCCCTTAATGCCCATCAGACAATGTTCCTTAGTCCTTTGAAGAACGGCCTTACTGTCCAAGTTCTTACTGTGTCCTGGATTATTGATGTTGGTCCTGATCCAGCATATGTCCTCGCACCGTCTGAAGCCCCATTTACGAAGACAAAAACGGCCCATGTCTAATCCATCGCTACTGCCACACCAAAGGAACACGAAGCTCCGATTGGCTGCCACTTCGCCGATATCCAGTTCCATTATCTGTCAAATTATTTTTTATACAGTCCTTTTCCTCGCAAGTTCATTAGTTATGTATTTACCTGATCCCAATTCCATAATTGGACGTTCGTTGCGCCGCAGGTCCGCTGATACTCCTCCAACGGTGGCTCGATCAAAATTACGTCAAATTTACAATTAAGTTCTTTTAAATTATACGTGGACAAGTCGGTCTTTAAGTACATCGGTGGTGTCGCAGTTTCTGCGATCAAATCGTCTTTCAACTTAATCAGTTCCCGTAGCTTTGGATATTCCTCGAACCTATCAGCGAGACCGACGTCTCGGATAAAGTTTTGTGGTCTCTGACCAGTGTCAATGAAGTGCTGACAGTAATCATTGTGTGGATTCGATGATTGTGTTCCCTTGAATCATATTCAATGTTATTCTCATGAAATCTGAAATCAAAACTTGTGAATTTGAGCTCGTTTACCTTCAAAAATGTTGATGAATCCTTGTACACAATTTCGTCAGTAGGGACAGTTTCATTCTTCGAATCTTTAATGCCATTCTCGGTTTTCTCCGTCACCGACTTCAACTTTTTCGTATGCGCGTCATAGATGTCGGTTCCTAGGATCTGTCTCAGCTCGTCTACACTCGATACGCCTAGCTACTCGGAGAAAACGAATGCTTTTAGCTTACAGTTCCATAACCTGCACGATGCGAAGCACCGACGTTAGATTCGTTCTCACCGTTTGTGCGAGTAGCTTCTTTCGCTTTTGCGAACGTTCACGAAGGGTCTGAAGCATTTTTTCATTAATTATTTTACTGCTGTACTCGAAACACTATCGTACACTTATCATTCCAACGGGAGTTCTCCCATCGTTTATAATTTTGTTTATCTTCCCCGATAGGACTGGGAAGCATATTTATACGGTTCGAATTTTTATCCGCTTCGCATGTAGGAATTGCGAATGGATTTCGAAAATCGTATACTCTTTACAACTAACACGAACCGACGAAAACAAAATATGTATATATTTACATTTCCATTCGCACCATTGCTACATGACCGCTACCGTTACCGTTTCGGATCAAGCGAACGGCGAACGGCGAACGAGCGCATCGCGAGCAGATTGATCTATGACGACCTCTCGTGAATAATCATGAAACGCGTCGGAGCGATATTTCAATTTTATCCCGCCGCGGCCCGAGCATCACAAAACTGACTAAGATAGCAATAAAAGATACAAAGAGTATATATTCGTTCACCCGTCCATTTATTTCAACATTCATTTTTATGCCAACTGTACAGTATTACAAATCGTCTTTCCGTCTCACGTTCAACACTAATTGTTAATTCTATTATATTTTCATACATCGGTCCGATTAAAACGGTACCGACTTACTACGCTTGGGAGAGCTTGTACAATCGAATAATAAATTAGAACAGAACTGGAAAGCCTCGATCCTTAGATCTCTCCTTGGAGTCGACCTGTCTGCATCGTTTGGAAAGGGAATTCGACGGCCTCGAATTCGAAGGACTCTAATAAGGAAGAATCGGCCTTGATCGGTGATGATCGGTGTTAATCGCTGGGAGACAATAGATATGCGAGGAAACCGACGAGACAAGGTCTATCCTTGGCATAGTCTGTCACGATCGGTGTCGAAGTAACGGTTACCGGAAGCAAGCGTCGAGAGGCTGTACCGGCCTCTCTTCCTCGTTGTTCACCTCGTCGTTCTCTTGGTATTTATCGTCGACTTGGAGACCGCTTCGATCGAGGTTCGTATGTACAAAGATGCTTCCTCCTTCGATTAATTATGAAACCACTGCTCGATATGATCGAGAATTTCGAAAAGATTATTGTCATAATATCAGTTTGTTTATCTCGATGGCTGAGCCGAGCAGCCACGCGTGTCCTCGTTATGATCTTCATAGCAATTTTAAATGTTGTATGCGTATTCCACACAATATAAGTAGAAACGATCCGCTGAGGAATGACGATTTATAAGTTAGAGAAAATTATAGCGATTCTATCTATCTAATCAATTGTTTAACGAAATTAAAAGTAGATTCCTTGAGAAACTGCAAAGACATTAATATCTGATTGATCGATACGCAGAGGTACAATTAATTAAGAGTATGTCCTCGCGGAAATTAGATCGCGGTCGTATCTTTTGGTGCATTCGTTTCTTTGAAATGCTCTACGCCGGATGAGTCACGTACGCAGGCGGGTACACGAAGAGCACGTGTTTGCCAAAACAATTTTTTGCGAACACGCGTTGATCGCACAGGTGTTGAAGCGAGAAGGATCCTCGCTGTCAAGGCGAAGGTAAATGACAGAGTCGGTCTAGCGGCTTCTGGCTTGTGTTGCGGGGGGGTTTCAAGAAAAACCCGAGCAGACTCGAGTCGAATTATTGTATTGGTCTAACGCCGTTCTCATTGGTCGGTTCATCGAATACGGTTCCACGAAATCCTGCCCGAATTCCGAGAAATCGCTCACGGGGGCATCCCTGTGCGCGTGGTTCGAGTAGCCCGGCAATAACCGAACCGTAGTCGTTGGCCCTGGACGGTCACAACGACGCGCACGACCCACGCGAACGCAACAAGGTGAAGAAACTTGGAGGACTAACGAACGAACGCCGAAACGAGTTCGAACGGGATCAGAGAGCGAGCTCGGGAATCCGGCGAGATATCAAAGGGTAAAACTGCTAATTAGCTTGTCCCATTGTCGCGACGTCCCATCCGATCTAGCCGCGCTCTCTCATCCTCGATCGAACGTGTTCCGGCCGCCTCGACCGCTTCGTTAACCGATCGCGCGCGGTTTCGTTTCAGGACTGAAGAGATTCGAACGGTGGACAGCGGTTCCCGAAGGAGTTGTACGAGATGAGACCCGACGAGGTGATACAGAACGAGAGAAGGGCGGCGGAGACGATGTCCGAGACGTCCGAGGGCACAGTGACGACCAGCGTCTCCGGTAAATCGGGTTTCGAGAGCCGTGAGGAACTGCGGGAGATCGCAGCTGTGCTCGGAATCCTTAACCCGGACGAGCTGCACCAAGAACGATTTCGCGTTGATCGCCGGAAATTAGAACAGATGCTTATAGGTGAGTGAGGATCTGACTCGAACGTCGGGACGTTCCGCCTTTCTTTCTTTCTTTCTTTCTTTCTTTCTTTCTCTCTGTCTCTCTGTCTCTCTTTATTATTCAGCGTGATTCCGCGAACTACGTATATAATTTAAATATCTGGAACGTCTGTTTGTAAACGGAATTAGACTGTCAAATGATAGTCGATCGCGATTAGAAGCTGCCGCTCGTAACGTTTATTTTGATGATGGAATCATCGTTACTGTACAGCACCGAGAGCAGATAAATAGGGGAATTCAATGTGCAAAACTCGTATCGAAAATGAAATTGAACAAACATATGTCTTCGTCGCTGTCGTCTCGACTCGCTGTCTGTCGATTTCTTAAATGATACAGGCACGGCCGGATCGTGATTTACGACTCGATCAAATTTAGTGGTATAATAGGTGCCTCGCTATTTATTTACATTTGATTCGCGCGTCTAAAGCTACATTTAATATCAGACCGCGCCCAGAGTCGAATTTGATATTGAAAACGAGAACGAGAATCCCATGCCAATTAACGCCGTATTTGTTCTTGCGAAAGTCCCTCGGCCCTCGCGGATGAACTGTGCGGAAAAAAGAAATCGAAAAAATGGACGTGAGGTCGATGTACCCTAACCGTACATATTTCTCTGTTTACAGGTGGTAATGATGTACCCAAGCCAGCGGACACGTTTTTTCATAACGTAAGTGTGACAATGAACACTCGTCCTCCACAACCGATATATGTTATGTATGTATTCGTCTTTCTACAGTCCTCAAACCTTTCATTTGCTCCCGCTTATTATTATTATTATTATTCGCCGGATTTTATTCGATCATCGTTGAATCGGAAATTCAGTCTTTCTCAATTTTTTAATTCGCTCAATATTCAAATTATTCCTGTCATATCTTGGATGATAATTTTCATTCTAGTAACTCGAAGTAAACACTTTTTAAATTACGTTCGTATCGGAATCGACATGGAAGCAACTTGAATTTATAATCAATTCACGTCGAGTCACTATCTATTTTATTAATTCGTCAGATTTTAGACTTTGGTTTCTGTTAATTTAATGTAATTTCGTTGCTTCGAATTTCCCGGGGAAAGCGAATCGTTCGGATGATTATGAAGTTGTGCGGAGCGCGTGGAGATATAGACCGAGGTCCAGCTCGAAGCGAACGGTCACGCTTATCCTTATCGTTGACACGTTGCATAAAGCCGGGCCTGGAAATACACTGTTCGATTATTTATAGAACCGCTTTACTCGACTTGCGTTCGATCACGTTTCCATTTTACCATTCTAATATTGTTCCCTGCTCGAGCGAAATCGCTCTTTCCACTAGGTTTCCGGATTCCGTCGACGGGAAAAGCCGGTCCTGCAAGTGACTGTCAGTCAGTAGAAAACTCAGTTATCAACGAACGTTCTTGTTCTTTCGATAGGGATTAGATAGAAATTACACTGAACGGAACGATCGCTATTTCTCAGCATTTTCACCGAGCAAAATTATTTTTTAAGACAGAGAGAGAGAGAGAGAGAGAGAGAGAGAGAGAGAGAGAGAGAGAGAGAGAGAGAGAGAGAGAGCCGCGTTACGTTGTGTCTCCCGAAATACTGCTTAACTCGCGGCACGTAATTTTAGCAAATGTCACTGGATCTCGAGAGCTTGACTTATTCTCAGTGTCGTCGGCTGCCAACTTTTACGAATATTCGGCGGTCAATTGAGATACCTGCCTACCGTTTCGACAGGACGAGAACCCTCGACCGACAATAATCCGGCTCGGGAATCGCGAGGCTCGAGCGGATTCCGGAACGCCGTAAACCCTCGTATATAAGAAATGGAAGTTTTATTGCCTTATTTCAAATACTTTTCACATCAGCGGATTGTGACGACGACAGAAACTTACGAAATCGACCTTAATTACACTGTGTACCCAAGCAATGTACATATAAGTGTCACTTTACAAATCAATGGTTCCCATAAATTTTATGATAGCAGCTATTCGCAGACCGTTGGATTTGTTCAGGTAACTCATTTCAGTTCGGAAGAGATCTACGTTTTCTGTACGACCGACCATAAACATTTCCCGGCCTTGTTACCTCTGTATTCGCATACTCTCTTCCTCGCGATTCAGCGCTAAAAATGGAATACATTTGTCATGAAAATGATTATTGTGACAGAAGTGCATGGGACACGGGAAATTAGACTTTATTTCTGTTCGATGGTAAAAGATTTCAATGACTGTTTTGTGTTTTCCTTACCTCACGCAGCGATCACGTCATATGAATCATTCGTATGACAAGCCGATTTTATTCGTGACATAAACTCGTGAGTCTGACATGGCGAAGGCTGAATAACAAGTATATCCAATCGGAATCGGTTTAAGGATCTATTGGCTATGCAGTCGTTAAATTCGAATCCGAAAAGTTTATGTACCTTAGAAAAACGCATTTCCTATAATTAAAAAGAAATCAGACGTCAGAAGAACAATGCTAATAATAAATAGCTACGTGCTAAAAAGTATAGATGGAAATATCCAATTAAGTATTGACGCTGAAGTAAAAGTTGTTTTCCTTCTAACTTCGATATTTAACGAGTTACGTATGATTATTTGGCATTTTATTGATGTTGACAAAATCCGACCATCCCAGTGTCGAAACGGCCAACTTTTGGCAAAAAATTTCATTTTGCCTTAATTACTCCTAAACCGTTGAATCTACGGGAAAATTGTATACAACCTTTCTTGACGACGAGATCTGTAATTTCTGTATAAGATTTTTTCGCTAGCATTAATATTTAACGAGTTATTGACGAAAAACGAAAAAACAGATTTTTGCAAATTACTCGTTATTTGCTATTGACGCTAGCGAAAAACTTTTGTACAGAAATTATAGATCTCGATCCCGATTTCGGTACCCCTTGGAAAAATCTCGGAAAAATCTCGGAAAAATCGAAAATTTTTTTTTGTTGTTTATTATTAGCAATGTTCTTTCGACGTCTGATTTCTTTTTAAAAAATTTGCGTTTCTAAAGTGCATAAACTTTTGTGAGTAACTGTATAGCCAATACGTCCTTAAAATCGAACTTGAAATTTGTACAATTGTGAAAATTGTATAAAAATTCGGGAATAATAAATTCTTGTACGAGAGTAACGGTTTTGGACGATGTTATCCCATGATGCTATTGTTACTCCAGTTTTGGAGTGCCGGTTGACGAGAGTTTGTCTCTTTAAATCGTTGCTAAGGAGGAAAGAGGGTATCGAGAATGAATCGGAAGATAGAGCGAGACGAAAGAGGTTCGCTTGTGGAGGGAGGCAGAGAGTGGGAGGCGGTTCACTCGAGCCATCCCGTTACATTATCTGGTGTTAGTCAGTCAGTCAGTCGTGGCAGTGATCCGGACGCGGTAAAAACAAGAGAGGACGCGTATCGTTCCTCGTACCGCACACGTACTACCGTCACGTCACGTCGGTCACGGTGAAAGCCGTTCCCCGTCTTGTCTGGTCCCGGTTCTGTTCCGCCGTCTTCCTGGTTCTCGTTCGCCAACGCTGCGAACAGTCTCTGTACACGCTACGAGGCGCGCGATTCGGAAAACGTTGCTGTGGCTGCCGCTAAAGGAATCCTGAAGTCGTTTCGCGGCGAGGAACGTGAAACGGAAATCGTGGAGTCGCGTTGTACGCGGTTATTCGTCACGAGGCAATCAAAAAAGAACGTGCCAGTGGATCTGAGAAAGGAGGATTTACATTCTGGATGAGTTGAGGAATTGAATATTGGTTTATCGGAAAAAATCATCTATGTACGTGATCAGTGATTGCCTCGTGCGGTAAGATCCAAGAAATGTGTCAGTGAGTCAGAAAGAAATTTTGGATAACAGTTTCCGTGGTTCAAAGTGGGGCCCTATTGACGTTTTATATAGTCATTAACTGTGATTCGAAAAACACTAATGGTTGCAGATAAAAAAAACTTTTAGAGAAGTCTCGAATAATCATAGAATTATTAAAACATTCATTGTTAGATTTCGTCCTGATTTGATTGATTTGATGAATATTATTACAAGTACCGATTAGTTTGAAGTTTTTTACTTGGAGAACGGTAGTGATCCTATTGAAAGAAATTCTTGGACGATTCTGAATTTCGTCAGAATTTTAACAAGACGGAGCTGGCCAGCGTGGTTCCGCTCTTGAAAACCTTGAAAGGAATCCCAGTGCAAGTTTCATGACAGGAATTCACGGAGCGATGAAGTGAACGGGATAAAGTCGGGGCGAGTTGATAGTCGCGACAGTGAAAGTACGTCACCGGGAACCGTCTCCCGATATTTTCTTCGCTCCGATCCTGTTCCGATCGCGGTTCCTCGTCGGTTCTGCGCGGAGGTCGATCATGCCTCTCTTCTCGTGACTCGAGTAAAATCGGACGCACGCAGCGGTGGTAACAGCAGTGTCGATCTCCTCTCTGCGAGGAGTTCTCATCTCCGCACGCCTCCCTCTTTCTCGCTGATTCATCGTCGCCCCGATTCGGCGACCAGCTTCGATTCGGCCAACACCCGGGGATCGTTGTGATACCGATACCTCTACCGATATCACTACCAGCCGACAACGATGACCGTGGTAATGTTCAATGTTGCACCACGTTCCACCCTATTCCGTTCCAGCTATTCCTCATTCCATGTTGTTTTCTTATAATAAACCTGACTCGGCGTCACGATAAATCTCTTAAATCTGTGTGTTTCGCTCTGTCGCAGATTATGGAAGAAACAAACACCTATGTTACGTGGCCGTCCCAGCTGAAGATTGGAGCAAAATCGAAGAAAGGTGAGTAAATGCCACGTTTACTCGAGTTGCTCTCGATCGTGTTCGGTAACTGGATCTTGGATCGAAATCGGAAGGTAGAAAGCGGTACGGTCAGACACCCGGAAACGATACAGGTTCCGCATCTACGTGTCATACCTGCGCACATGCTACGTACAAATAGATCGGCTAGACTCATCGACTCAAGTCGAATATTTCCGATCACGTTTAAGAAACGGAATTTAAATTACTCGGGATGAGTCACACGAGTTGTTCACCTGCCTACTCGATCAGTATTATACCTGACTCCTAATCGAATCGCTCGCTAATCGAAGGTTCCACGTACGTTTATTAGTGGTATCTGGTTTTATAGTTATGACACGAGGTTCGACGACTCTATTAGCTGCCGTGGCGAGGATCGACCGATCGATTCGCCAGCGACTTTTCTCTTCCTCTATCCTGTCGGTTCCCTTTCTATCCAACGTTCGTCGCTTATCGAGCGACCAGCGAACCTCGTTACATACTTACATGCTCGATTACGTCAGTGGCAACGGCAGGTTGCGGTGGCTCGGTCCGCCAGCTGACGTTCGTTTCGCGTTGTTTTCTCAGTTCTATTTGCGGTACGTGTGTGCGTAAATTTTCGCAGACTCGTTCTTCTCTGTTCCGTTCCGTTCCGTTCCGTTCCGTCGCGTCGTCGAACGACAAACGGGCCCAACTCCGATCCGCCTCTATTTACTCCTCTGGTCTCTTCCTCCGGACTCCGGAGACCGGTTCCTCTCTCCTGTTTGTTTGCTGCTTGAGAACCAGGAACTCGTCGACCTCGCAAACCGACACGACGCCGAGGAAATCGTGTTACGTGTCCCGAACCGTAGCCTCGATAATTAGAGCGTACCCATTAATCGAAAGTGATTACGAAACCCAGCAGCGCGCGTGCGGCTTGCTCCGCGACGCGTGTCGGCCAAGTAAAACGCAATCGGGTATTCGCCTCCAGCGCGAAATTCCTGTTTCCTGGTCCACAGACTCGTCCTCTTACAACTACAATCCTTCCAACTGACGCGATCGTCTTATATGCTCTACTCACTCTACTCTATACATTTTTCATTTTATAAAACGTTTTAGTCGCCGAACCAGTAATAAGCTTGGAAAAATTGTTTTCGACTATGATGACTAATTTCTCGAAAATACAATTACTCAAAGTGGTTTAATTCTCTTATCACCGGTAACAATTACACACATTTAACTAGAAGGTTTCTCGTATCAACACAATATTACGTCAGTTTGACGGATAAAAGAACAATTAAACTGCGAAAATGAGCGTGAAACGTTCAATCGATCGATCGATCGATTGATCGATCTGCTGATACTTTGCCGTGGAAACAACAGATCGAAATCGACTGTTTACGAATACAGGTAAGGCCTTATCGAAGGAAACTTTATCTCGGAACGCGTACGTATTAGAAATTCGGCTAACGTCGGACGGAAACGTTTCGTCCGGCTCGCTCCCGTGGCCTTCCCTGTCCTCCATCCTCTCTGCATGGAAACTTTTCGGTGATTCATCCCTTCCTTGTGACCTGAACAGCTGTTCCCCAGCTCTCTTCCTCCTCCTACTTTTCCTCCTCCGTATTCTTCCACCGAAGGAACCCATTGTGCCTGACAAGCTGCGTAATCCGGTATAAATACACTCCTACAATACCTCCCACAGGCTCTCACTCATCCCTTTGGCGAATTTTCGCTCGCCCTACAGGAATATTTTGTCTCTGTGGAACTGCATCGGCCCCAACTTTGGTTCCCCTTCGAAATTACAGGAAACAATTCCATCCAGGCCGAGCTTCTAAATACATATTGCAAATAATTAAATCTTTTCATACCTGAGCATCATTAAACTTTATACGATCACCGAACATAAAGATATGTATGTACATATTTAATTCAGAGAAAATGCACGTTCGTTTTAACGAGCTTTTAAGTACGCGTTGGTAATAATCAGTCTTCTCATGTTTGAGCATTGTTAACCTTTACGTGATCTCTTAAACCTAATCAAGCTATGATTTTAAGAAAACACGCTTAATTTTATGTAAAACGATCCGTTTTACAATTGGATTCGTTCGAGTTCAGCCGCGAAGCATGCGCGGCGTTACTCCGATTTCGAGCTTTGAAAACGTCGCGCGCGAGGTCGATCGTATCCGTGACTGTATATTCTCTCGACGAACGTGGAATTATGCAACGCATTTTCGATCAACTCGCCATCAGCTTTTTCGTCTCTGTCCCTTGTACATACGCGCTTGCTCGCTGGTCACGACGTCGGACGGTCGACCCCCCCGTCAGAATTCTGGATTTCGGCCAGGAAACGTTTGAAAAATTTCATCGAGGAAGATTAGGCGAAATTCGAAAACGTGTTACGAAAGCCCGTCCGCGTTACGCGTGACAGGCTTTATCTTCGCTTGCATTCATCGCCCAGATAATTCCGTTTACTTCGTGCCGTCCATTTACTTCGACCTCGCAGCCGTAAAGTCGATCGAAAATTTCCGATCGTTGAATGATCCATGAAATTCATAACGAGCCGCGTATAACGGCAAACGCAATTAGGGAAAGTCGGTTAAAAAACTGTTCTATCGGTCACGGTTTCTTTATACATACGAGCTATTCACTATCGTCGGCTAATAAGAATAATGTACTATTTAAATTGGCTCATGACTTTCATGAGCATTGAATGCAACGCATATAAATGATTATCGCAGTATTGTCTCGATCGCAGTTTTATGATTGTTTTCCCAGCCGGGTAAGCGAAGTAGAGGAAAATGCCGGTGCGCAACTTTCGTTGGAAAGGAAATCGCGTGGAATGCGCCAAAGTTATCGCAGTGTTGCTTCGTTGCGTAACGATGAACGTTCAGAAAATAACGCGAATCGAAAGAGCCTTTATACCGCGCGCTGCTTATATCTCGCATTTTTTTTTTTTTCCCACTCGTTTCGTTGTTTTTCTGGAAATTCGCGAACTGTCCGTCCGTCGCGTTACATCGTACGTGATCGTCGTACGCACCAGGTAGGGGAACGGTTTATACGCGATGGCTCGCGAAGGCTGTTTCGCGATCTATTTCTGGGTCACCGTTTTCGATTCGGACAGAATTTTCTCCTCTTAGCAACCGGCGGCGAACGTTTTCCTCTCTCTGGTTCGTCTGTTTCCGTCGCTTCCTCACGTTCCTCGCTATTTTTATGCAGGATCCATTATGCCGTATCGAACTTTTCGGAAAGCTCGCCGTCGAGAAGATTTGTTGGTGAAAAGTGAAATAAACCAGACGGAAAGATTCGACGTAGTTACTTTAATTAAACGTCCATCAGTGATAATTGTCAATAAAACTCGCAAATCGTATTGGTTAGCGTCGTCACTTTGACACATGAGAACGTGTGACGATATCAATTCGGAATAGTAAGCGAAAAATGATGAATGGTCAGACCTTGTACGAGGAGTAAGATCTCTACCAAAGGTTTGAGAGATGTGATAAAAGCTAGGTCCAATATTTGAAGCGGTGGATTGTTAAAAAGAATGGTTTTTACAAAGAAGTAAGCTTTATCAAATTACTCGACGTATCTTTGTTGACGTCACAATCAACTTTTGACGAATAATTTTCAATGTATGGTTTCTTGATAATATTCCATCTTATTTGCAACTATTTACAAGTCCTATTCTTATTTTTATTCTATATCTTAAACAATATCTTCGAAGTTGACATTGTTTCAACTTTAAAATAATCTTAAAACGTGTATTAACAATTATACAAATTCACAATAGTTTGTCGTTATTGCATCTATTTCATAAATTGAATAAAAATTTTTATATTCAACATACGAATAATTCAAGATGTTAATAATTTTTGTAATAGCAAAATTTTGCGTGTTAATGTAATAATAACCGTTGCAGACCTTAAGTTCCGCAGTCTCCGATGAAAGACAGATGACGAGTATCAATGACAAAGATTTTTGTGATGAAAAGAGATCGAGGAAGACTTTACTCGTTTCCCTGTAGCCGCTGATCTTTCGATCGAAATGTTACAGCTCGGTGTCGATACGTAACCGGTCGATAAAGTTTCCAATCCTGTTCTGTTTTTTGCGGTTCGTTCCTTTCCTCCTTTCTCTAGAACGGCGTTCGACTGTGCGGATCGATTCGATCATCGCTAAAACGATAATCCACGTCCTCGGTTATCGTCCTCGTCGGTTTTGGCGCGTTCGATGACCAGGAAGAGCATACGTTCAACGAAACAATCGCGCTCGGAGAATATTAAAAACGTTGTACGTACATACGCCGGTCGCAGAAAGTATTTGCACGTGGCTGAATTTATTTTAGGATTTGCATATTGATCGGTCAGTTCCAAATATAGACATCCTATTATTTACTACCGTTTCAAAGTATAATGTACAGCCACGCACATCTCATTAGTGACTTATTTCGGAATGTAAATCGCGACGGTATCGAACGATCTTTTTATGAAAATTGGGTTAAATAAAAAAGAAATATGTTTGCACGGCCGCGAGCGCGTGCTGTGACAATGAAATATGGTACCTGATAAAAAAGCGATTCATCAATACACGCAGACGTGCATACATTCGCACAAGTGCATACGTGTACTAACGTGCATGCAAATATTATTTGCAGCCGCTATAAAAGTTGCTGAGCGATGGCCACTCGGCTCGAGTTATTGTCGCACGTTGTTGCATAATTTGTTTCGACGGTTCTTTCTTTCTTACAGATCCGCATATAAAGGTCGCGGGTCGACCCGATGACGTGCGAGCTGCGAAAGAGAAGATAATGGAAATTTTGGACACAAGGGTAAGCAGAACACAGCGCGGCTGTTTCACTTACGCGAGATACGTTCCGTTCGTTTTTCGCGAGTCATTCGGAGCCGGCGACGACGGAGCCTCGAGTGATAAGAGGACCGCGGCAATCGCCGTCGTCAGGCGATGATGATGGGACCCGTCCCGGGCACGGGTGGATGATCCGCTCGTTTTTTACCGAAACGTTACGTCATACGACCAGATTACGCGCGCGCGCACACACATGTGTATGCATAGTGTGTGACCTCGGTTGATCGGCTTTCGACTTTTAGCGCCGCATCGAGCAGATCCGTACAAACATATTCCCCGCCCCCTCGGTCGCGCTCGTTATCACGGAGATAATCGGCGCCGATAGATAAAAAACTTGCGAGTTACGAGACCTTTGTAACGAGCCATGTACCGTCGCACCGGTAATCGATACCTGTATCGCGATATTGATTTTTTCGCTTGCTCGTCTCTAAATAAAGTACGTACATGGTACATAGATACATATGTACATATGTATAACATTACCAAGCTATTTACGTATCACAAATCGAGCGAATATTCGCGAACCCGTTCGAATCTGATAAAAATGGGTGTCCGTCTTTTTATCTTTCACACTGGAAAGTTTAGAAACGGCCACGAATTATACAGTCGGCGGATTTCATTCTTTCGTTGGCTAACACACTGATTCGATATCTTCGACAAGGTCGACATTTTTTAAGATTCTTATTATTGTATTTAAAAAAGTACGTACGTAACATATGACGCAAAGTGTGATTTCACTTTTTACGTGGAATTATATAAAAATTTCCAAGAGAGATTATTAGGCAATTAGTGGATAGATGGACGGTAACGTGAGCAGCGCTTCGACTCAGACAGGGAAAAGTATCTATGCATGTAAAAACGACACATAGGAAGAAGGTATATTCTATTTATATGCGAATTCCCCGGCGAGAAAGCGAGACGCCGGTTTTACCCGCGTACCGTTATCTCGAACGCGACGCGCAGTCCCTATCCACGAAACTTCACCTCCTTCCTCTTTGCCGATCGCTCGCTACCACCCACCTCTCGTCCCACCGGGTATCTCCTTTTTTTATCGGATCAATACAACATATTTCGTGTTTCTATCAAATTTTTTTATGGAACGTATTATATGAGAAATAAGAAATGCCGACGGTTTTATAAAATCACAAATGTTTTGCTTCTAATGAAAATGGAACATTACTCAACTAGAAATCGTGCGTGGTCGTTAAAGCAGGACGAGTTATGAAAATTCACCGAATACATGGACTTGTTCGTTGTAAATTCATAGCAAATTACATACAATATTTTCGATAACATTAGCTACTCGGATGTACGAAACGCGAATACTTGGGGACTTGTTGAGAACGTTCTACAGATCCGAGATGCGACGTCACCGAACGGGGAACGGATTTTACATAACTGGACGGGATCTAGTACACATCGAAAGCAAACGATGCGTATAAAGTTCGAGTGCAAATGTCAATATGCCGCGCGGAAAGTCTTGACAGTCGAGGAAAGCCTAACGTGTCATTGGAGGACGTTGCGACGCGTATTTTTCCAACGCTCGGTCACGTCGGCGTTCTCCGTCGATGATTCTTTATCGCGATTTCGGTCGACTTCGCCTCGTTCCACCTAGTCCCTCGCTATGAAACGTTCCCTCGCTTCGATTTCAGCAAAACAACAGAGTAACGATGAAACTGGACGTTAGTTACACCGACCATTCGCATATTATTGGTAAGGGTGGATTGACGATCAAACGAGTGATGGAGGATACCGGATGTCATATACATTTCCCTGACAGCAATCGAAGCAACCATCAGGAGAAGAGTAATCAGGTGTCGATCGCGGGAGAGATGGAGGGCGTCGAACGAGCTCGCGCACGCGTCAGGGTAGGTTCGCCAGTTTTTAAAAAATCCACAGGTATTAAATTCCTTAGAAAATCGAAAGCCAGTCGTCTTTTGTATATTTTATTGTTCAGTTAAGAGATCGATCGTTTCGTATAATTATCGATGACTATTACTCGAATTAAATCTCTATCACGATATAACATAAATACAGAGTGAAAGAATGAAGATTTGCGTTTGCAGAATCTTACCCCCCTGATCTTCTCGTTTGAACTACCGATTATGAGTACGTCCCAGACCGTGCCTGATTCCACGTCTCCGTACGTGGTGAAAATTCAGGAGAAGTACAACGTTCAGGTGATGTTCCGTACGAGACCGAAACTTCACGCCACCCTGGTCGTGGTGAAAGGCTGCGAATGGGAGGTGATCCAAGTGAAGGAGGCGACCGTCTTATTGATTCATTACATGTGCCAAAACTTAGCTGTAAGTAGGAACCGTTGTTTACGATTAATCGAGTCGGTGACTCGAGATGCTGCGTGCATCTCCCTTGCAACTTGGAAAAATCGATCGACTCGATCTCGGTGTTCTCGTCTCTGTACAGAGTCAAATACAAGTACAAATGTCGATGGAGATCTCGCCGCAACACCACAGCATCGTGTTGGGTAAGCAGAGCAGCAATCTGAAGATGATCATGCAGCGTACTGGAACTCAAATAATGTTCCCCGACGCCGGCGATCCGAACATTCCCAGCTTGAAGAAGAGCAACGTTACGATCATCGGTAGCATACACAGCGTGTATTTGGCCCGGCAACAGTTAGTGGTAGGTCATGTTGTTCCCGTGATTCTACTTTCCTTATCAGTTAACGCTTATCGTCTCCATTTTTGTTGTTGCCGTTTACTGATTCGTTTCCCCTCTCCTCGATCCGTGTCTGCTTCGCAACCTGTTTCTTTCAATTAACGGCGCGATAACGCCGTTCACTGTTTATTCGCACCAAGTGGAAAAACTTGAAGGAAATTTTCGTTCAGGGTTCCCTGCCTCTTGTATTGATGTTCGACCTCCCCGAGGACTCGATGTCCTCCGTCGACACCGAGAACATCTCGCAGTTGATGCAATCGTTGGACGTGTTCATAACTGTGCGACACAAACCGAAACAGACCACGCTGTCCGTGATCATCAAGGGAATCGAGCGGAACGCCAGTAACATTTACGAGGCGAGAAAACAGCTTTTGGGCTTGGAAGAGCCCAGGATCTACGCCGAGATTCCAGTCACTTATCACATACCGAACACTGGCAATGTATTTCAAGGAAACACTAACAACAATTGTAGTAAGCGTCTAACTCATCGTACAAATATTCGTATTATTCACTGTCGTTTTGGTTCCTCAGTTTCGCAGCTACTTGATCGTTTAATCGTGTGATTTGCAGATTCCAACAATTTGGTGAACAGTATATCGGAAAACTTGTCGAACATGTTGTCGGTGAACACGCAGAATTCACCGTATTGCGCCTCGCCATTGTCTCATTCGCCAAATCCTATGGGACTTTCGCCCCACTGGGCTTTACCGCCGATGCCGTCCATGTTTTCACCACTGCCGCTTCATCATTCCTTCCCGTATCCGCATCTTAATCACCTACTGACCACGCAGCACATGATGCACAACACCCCGATGCCCCCCCACTCCCACGGGTTGCAGAATCACGGATTCACCGGTATCAGTCAACTTCATCCGAACCTAACAACCGGCGGTCACAATACTCACGGATTGAACGGTAATTCGTTGCCGGACAGCAAAGAAAGCAGCGGTAAGTGTTCTACGGTCCACTTTTACTTATATGTATTACGCAATGGAACACTTATTCGATTTTTATTTAATTCCAGCTTATTCGTCGCTGAGTAGCGTTTCGAGTTCTTTATCTAGTCCGGCAATCAGTCCACGGAATATCTCTCCAGTGAATCCAACCGAAACCAGCCAAAATTTAGGTGAATACACGATGCTTCTGGTTTAGAAGCCGCGAGAGTCGACGAATATATTGATTTATTCTCGTTCGCAGATATATGCAACATGCTGTCCGATCTCGCGGTGTCCGATCGCAGGGCGCCGGGTTGCGAGAAGAAGTCGCTCGAAATGGCTGTGCAACAAAATCTCGGTCCATTCGACTACGAACAGAAGAAGATTCTCGCGGCGAAGGTTGTTCAGTCGAAACCGGCCTCCGACGATTTCCGCGTGCCTACTTCTGCCTGGTCCGGTTACGGACTCAGCCAGACCATTCCTCCTATGAGCACCTCCGATTTGACCAAGGCAAGTGTAGCCTTTAGATAAAGTATAATTTGAAATTATTCATTTGCAAGTACAACTCAAAACGATTTCCGATTCACTTAGCACACACACACACACACACACACATGCGAAAATTAAATTTCCATTACGCAGTATAAGCGCATATAATTTTTTGCGGTGACATTTGGAAATTCGTTTTATGTTTAACGAGGAATGTTCTTATTTTGAATCGTAGGAGTTGACCACTTCCTCCCACGCATCCGATCTGTGGAAGGAGCCAACGACGCCGGTGTTCACCAGAGACATGGATTTCGGCATCGGCGCCAGACAAGACCGTGCCGGGTCAATCGGCATCAGATCGAATTACATGGATCACACGCCCACTTCGCATCTGAAGAAGATCACGTCTCAACGATACGACGATTTAACCAGTGCCTTGTCCAGCGTAGGATTGGAAAAATATATTCGTAAGTGAAGTCGATATAAGAATCTTTTCTCGCTTGCTTGCTTGCTCGCATGTTGCTTCGCGTTCAGTTCTAACTCGTTGCTCGCTTCTCTATTTATCAGGCCTGTTCACAACTCACGAAGTGGACATGGCCACGTTTCCTTCGCTGACGGAAAAAGATTTGTTAGAGATCGGTATAAGCGCTTGGGGTGCTAGACGCAAAATAATGCTACTAATCGCTGGTATGTAAATCGCTACGCGCGTCCCGTCGTTCTCGATTTTTACTCCCGGTTGTCGTTTCAGAGATGAACAAACGTACGAGTCCGTTCTGTGGAAGCGCAGCACCCGGCGCCGAACGGAAAACGATCACGTCGACGACCTCGTCGTCGATGGAGAAGTGCAATCTAGACACGAAATGGTAGAGGAGGGGAAAACGACTAACGAGTCTCGCAAACATTTTTGGAGAAGAAATACCAAGTTCACAGACGAAGCCGCGTCGTACTTAAACGTTGCGTTCCAGGATCCACGGAACAAGAAACTGCTTTAAATACGGAATGAATAAAATCACGCGGGCCCCTTCGCCGACTAGACGGTAGAATCAAGGTAGAAATTTAGGGTGTTATGTGTTACGATTTCAGGCACCGGATGAACAGGGGGAATGATTCATTTTGTGGTCGGGGACTGTTTGCATTCTCCTCTTTTTTTTTTTTTTTTTCTTTTTTTATACCCCACAGTTCTCGATTCACCCGGCGTGAAGGTGCCTTAGATTAAGAGTAGCTCTCGTTACCACTTTCGTTTCGTTAACATTTTTTTTATATATATATATATACATATACATATGTGTCTCTAATTTCTATATGGTGTCCAGCGATGCTCGGCGGCGTGAACGACTCCGTTCACGTCGCGGTATCGCGTTCGACACTCTTTCTTGTAATTATTGTATGTGCTTTTCTTTTTCGTAACGGTGGAGAGTTCGTATATATGGTTGAACGATAGGTTTGTACAGTACGTAGAAATTAGCGATAACAGTTCGGTTGGCATACGTGGAACCGTTGTAGCATCGTAGCCGTACTATTCGGTGAAGCTTGCAAAGAACAGAAGTGTGATTGAGAAAGATTTCTCAGGTGTATATAGAATGTTTAATGAACGCGAGGTCAACTTAAATTCGATATTAATCAATACCGGTTACTGGGATCATTCGCACGCTGCAGCGATTCCATCGAGCATACAACGAATCGGAGCTTCGATGAAAACGGGCAAGAGCAAAGTTCCGCGTATTCGGACCGCCTTTCGTCCCGGCGAAGTACAAATATTTAATCTCGACTAAGCTCGAAATTCGATGCGAGACGCAAAACGAGTGCTCGCGCGTTTTCGACTTTTACAAACTTAATTCAGGTATTTATTATTCGCTCGCGAAAGGCGTCGAACACGCGTAGAGCAAACAATTTTGTTCTTCACTAATTTTATTCCTAGAAACGTGTCGGGGCTGATCACTCGGTCAACCTCGCACGTCCTCAAGGATCGCTTTCGGCATTTAACGATCGATCGATCGCGGTGAACATTTTGCGAAGTGCTCCAAAACGGATAGCCTGATTCGAATTCAGCCGCATAATTGCCGGTCCTGCAGTCAAGTATATATGTATATGTATTAGAGCAATCGATAGACATAAAAATGGTTAATTTACATTTTTAGTTTTTATATCTATGCACTAGTTGAATCTATAACAAAAGGAACATTATTTATGTTTCAATAATTTGCATGTACGCCTAGTTTACGATCTATATTATTTTACAAACGATCCTCGATCTACATAAATTATTAATATTTTAAACAAATTTTTCAATTCTCTTTGTAAATAAACGAATGAAACGGATGCGTTAGGCAATGGTGTCACGGCAGGCTCGTTAAACCACGAGTTCAGGCGATCGATTTGTTGATGCGGTCAGCGATACACAATGATTGCTCCCGTCGCTTATCAAGGGGAAGAATATAATCGCAGAATGTCTAGCGAGTCGAACGATTTTTACCGTTAGAAGCTGTTGACTAAGTCTCTTGTGATGTCCTTTTAAGCATAAATTATTCTTGGCGTGATCTATCGAAAATGTTATTACGTACGGAGAAAAAAAAAAAGGAACAGAATACATGCTATGTGTTTTGTACGTGTATGGATGTGTGTGCGTGGATACGATATGTAGAACAAAGACTGTGGTCCAATCGTCTTTCGTGTTCCTGTTCGAACGGTGACCGTTTCTTCGATGAACGGGAAAACTATTGGTTCGGAGTTTGATTTTCTTTGCCCGGTCGAGGCAACTGGAAGTCGTAATTTTGCTGTGCCTTCGTAACGAAGAATAATTATTTGATTAAGCGTTCTAATTTTTTTCTTTTTTTTTTTGCGTTTCCGCGTTAAGGCGGTGGGACGTCGCAGAGCGTTCGATCGCGATGTCGATCGTTGTTTTCGAAAATAAAAGCGGTCGATCGATGACCGAACGGGATCGACGCAAACCCATCTCGTTTGCTCGCGTTAAAATCGAATTTCTCCCGCGCCGCGTCATCGGTCGGATTGCTCGACAAAACAAATTTTTAGACAAACACGTCGCACTGTTCTTCGATGTTCCTATATAAATATATATAAATATGTATGTATGTATGTAAGTATGTATGTTGTATGTATGCGTGTATATAATAATTTCGCGATATTTGCGTAACAACCAATTGTTATAAAATGCTAAGAAAGAAAGGAAACGATGATAAGTAGACACACGAGACAACGAAATATTCACTATACCCAGCGTTCGAATATCACATATTTAATATTGGGTCGTTAATCCTCGTCCCTTGTCTCATTTCCGACGTGATACGACGAATAATTAACAGCTATTTTCCTCTCTCTTCGCCTAGCACCCCAATCTCCAAAAGCCTCTTCCTTACCTAACATTCGATTTGCGCCAACTTGATTCTATCGCTTTTCCACGCGGCGTCAATTAATTCTCAATTTAATTGTTTATTTAATTATTAAATTCTGTAATCGGAGAATCATCTCCAGAGTTACTGCGACTGTCTCTAATTTACTGGGGACTTTAAATTCAGAAGCTGTGTACACTCGCAAAGGGCTAACTAACAAATCTGTTTCGACGATAGCTTTCAATTAACGTTTAATAAGATTAAGAAGAGAATTCTTGATACGATTTAACGAACGGTATAAGCGTCAATTATTATTCTATGTAGATACCTCAGCGAACGTTTATCGTAAAACGAAACGGAAACATTCCAGCCGAGGCAAACGTATCGCGATTTTAGAGAGAGAAATGAAAGGAAAGAGGAAATGAATAAGGAATTAACGGCAGAGATGTGTACATAGTATGTCGCCTCGGGTGTGTAAAAGGAAAAAGCGTTTGTACAATAAGCCGGCATGTCTTTTTATACGATACATTTAATTATTTTGAACACACACTTGTGAATATAATTCCGCGAACATGAACACGTCTGACTATCGTTTCGTTTCGAAGGAAACGCCGAGTAAATGGTAAAAGTTATATCAGAAAATTTTGTATTGCTATTTTTAATAAAAAAAAAATGATACAAACATTCGTAATAAAAGAAATAATTCTGTTCCGCATTATTTTTTATTCTAGACAATATAAAATATACAAAGATTTATGATATAACAATGAAACGAGGTAACAGTAGTAACAAGGAAAATTCCAAACGGTGATATCCTCCACTGGTGTTAAACTAGTATCAGTGATTTGGTAGAATTTTCAGGTAGCTGTTTAAGCATCAAATAGGACGCTTGATGGATATTTATGCGATACGGTATTACGATTCGCTGACAGGTATCGAACGTTTCGAATCAGCATCCACTCGATCGCTATTATCGTCTCGGGTGTACGAAACTGAAGAGCTTGTTTCGTATGTTCTCATGTTTCGAACGTGAAGTCGCGTGCCACATTCGGAACATTGAAATTCGTTTGTTGCTGTAAAGTGAGCCTTCATACAGTAATAACAGAATACATGCTGGCAACCGGCGTGTACGGGTAAAATCGGAGTGTCATCACAGTAGGCGCAATTGGTGAACGCGTCCATGGTCGGATAAAAGCGGCGAACGAGGTCGTCGCGTCTCGTCCGCGTGAACAACTTTTTCAGCCCGCATTTCAAGTAATGGAAATTGATCATTGGCAGGCCGGTGGTGAACAGTTCCATTAAACTGTGCCAGAGTAGTTCCCGGGTCATGTAGGAGTAACCGATATTTCTGGGTTTGTGAGTGGTCGTGGATCGGCTCGCGATACCGAGCAGATACTCGATCACTTGGGGCTGCGTGCCGCGGTGCAGGAATACCAACAAGTTCACGAACTCTAGCAGTTTCATGACGTCTCCGACGTAATCGAGGAGCATGCCGAGATTGCGATTGCCGCCGTTACCCGCGAGCTTATCTCGCGCGTACTCCGGGACGATCGTCAACATCAGGTAGAGAAGTGACTTCGCACGAGTGACGTTCTCATAGTGCAAGTTGAGGAGCTGTTGGCCAAAGGTCGACTTCCCGTCGCGCAGCGAGAACGTCCACATGAAATACTTGAGAATCGCGTCGACTTCGGGCTGCCATCGATCGATTTGGTCTATCGGTAGATGCTTGCCAACCTGTCTCGCCTGATTTCTGAGCACCTTGTAGATCTCCTCGTCCAGCTGCACCGCGTCGATCTGATTCACCCGTGATACGTACGACATGACGGTAGACGGTCGTTGTCGTGGTTGGCCACGAAACGTAACGCGACGCGTCGCGCGACGGAATGGCACAAGGCACAAGGTCGCGGCCGGCGATCGGTCGAGGAAGCGATTATTTTGGTTGCGGCGCGATCGTGCGCGCGTCGGGAGGGCAAAGTAATCGAGGGCCGAGAAGCTGATCCAGTCGCGTCGAGCGTTTCGTTCGGACAGTGGTTGGAGACGCGAAAGTTTCTAAGTAAAGGTGTATCTCGCGTGACGCGAACGCGTAACGGACGATCCTGTGCTAGTCGCGATTTCCCGAACCCGGTAACCGGCGTCGGTGTACGGCAGAAGCAACTTTCAGTGTTCGAACGGACAGAAAGCGAGGTTAAAAGAAGTAGAACGTCGCCGAGGCGGCACGATCGGAGTCGAGGAGAGGCGATCAGAGTCGAGGGGACACGAGTCGCCGCATCGGGTCGGTCGGTGACGTCCTCTGTAGGAGAAGCGGTCGAGACCGGGCGTCGGGACGAAGGGAGCGAGAAACGGGACGGACGAAGACGGGTTCGATTTCGAATCCCTCCGGTTTCCCGCAGTGAAGGAATCGCAGTCGCGGGGCGCGCGCGCGCGTCACTGCCCTCTGTTAGCGGTCTCTCGGAAATCACGTGGAAAAAGGAGAGTGGATTCTGATTCTAGTCGTGCACGGTGTTGTCTCGGTCTCGATAGTAGGGCCCCGCCGGGACGAGTCGCGCGAGGAGGACTCCGTCGGATGTTCGGTCGCAGTGATCCAGGAAGGTCCTCTGGCAACGTAACAGCGGACGCACGGTGTCGTTGAGGTTAACTCGAGAGACTGCTGCGAGGACCGAGCGCCCGCGTCCTATCGCGTTTCGGGCTCCATGTTGCCGCTGGTGGTATGACGTCATCGAGTGTTGGTGCTTCGATAGTGGGCTCGTTCCTCACCCGTTCCATCAAAATTACCCGATCATGTTTTCGTGATAAATTCCACGGTTCGTTTTGGTGCGGCAAACGGTGAACTCGCAGGCGACTTCGACGGCCGGTCACCCCCGATCAGTGCAACCGTGCTCGCGAGGCTGCCACGCATCCTCCACTACCCGAGCTCGGTGAGTACCCATTCCTCTCGCCTACTATGCTCCGAAATTATTATATAATGTTCGTCCGCTTTATTCGCTTTCACGGGAATTCATCGTGCTCGCTCCAACCGCATCGATCCGTCAACTGACAGGTTATCCTCCGATCTCTGTCTCTTTCTCCCTCTATATCTATCTCACTCTCTCGCTCTTATCCCTCAGTTTCTGTCCTCCGTTCGTGTTCCTTTTTGCACGCGTACCTATGCGGTGTGCACCTCGAATTAGCTCTCGCTCCGTTCGCTCGTTATTTCGAAGAAAACCGATCAATTCATCAAGCTCTAACCTCTTATGGCAGATAACCTCGAGGTGCTGAGCGCATTGCCTTAAAGCGCGTTAGCATGCGTTTATTTTTGTGTCGGCCACTTGTTCGCGACCACCGCGCGCCGCGCCGGTTCATTTTCCTCCGTGCTTCCTCGATTGTCACGGCACGCGATCGATATCGAAGGCGTTACAGCTATTTTTCTTTCCTGTGTGCCCATATCGTCTATACCCAACCGCGTCCTATCCTGCCTCGTCCTGTTCTCTGTCTTTTTTAATTCGAATTCCACGTTTTCATCGACGAACACGTCCATAGTACGACGAGCTCTCCAATTCCGGCCATGCGGTTTTTATTATTTTCCTTTCAGCTTATCACGCGTCCCGACGCTACCGACGCGTGTTATCGTGCGACAAAACATGCGGGACATGTATATTGTTTACACGCGACATGCGTTTGCGAATCATCGAATGCCCGAGTCTTCTTTTCCACGAAACGAACTCGCCTCGATTCATTCCTAATTCGTCTTTGAACGATAACGTCCTTCTATAACCGAGAACAGAATCGATCTCTAAATATGTAATGTGCATGGCACCGCGTGAGCGGTTCCGATGGAAGGTGGGCGTGGCGTGCAAAAATTTCGTAGCTCGTGGTCGGACCTTTTCTCGCACCGATCGGTTGAAAAAAGTGCGTGGGTTGTTCATTAGGAGGGATATTCATCTAAGGAAAATCTGCAGGAATAGATGATGCGGTACGACCCCGACCCGAACTTCTTTGTTTACTTTTTCCGCGAACGTGTTCACGCGTCCTCTCTTCGGGTAAATCGACCAACTTGTCCTCTGCCTCACGCGTTGGCTTTTCCCAGCTCGCCACACGGCTTTACATGAAGCACCTTCTCATGTTGTTAGTTCACATACGAAACATGAATGTGGCCCTTCTCTACTGGCTTAGATTTCGTCTTCTGATGTTTTGTATGGTGGATTAAAATAATTCATCCTTATTAATTTTTAGTGGTTCTCTTAATCCACGTGACTAAATAATGTGTCGATACAAACGTGCATTTTCTTATTTCTAGAATTCATTAATCTCGATATTTATCACAGAACTGTTCTGTTAGAAATTAGCAGGTGCAATTAGAGAACAATGTTTTCAATAGACCTTCGAAATCCCTTATGTGTGCACGCTTCTTCTCGAAACTCGTCATTGTCATAATCGATTGGTATAGTGAAAGAGCTTTTGCTCGTGCACAGCACGTCTCGTTTTATTCTTCAACCCATATAGTGGCTACCGATCCAGTGAAAGAAAGTAGTGAACAATTCCTGGAAGGTAACCACCCCGATAGTGTACACGATAAGGTCCCGAACATTAAGCGGGCACGGAGCACAGTATGTAGGTGAACTATCGACGCGCGTATTTGTCGGATAGGAAGAGGCACGCTCGATCGTAAAACGGGGTCAGTGCTCGTACACCGTTTCTCGGTCGTTTGAAGAGGGCAAATTACGCTCGACTTTCGTCGCAGCCAAATCGCGTGTAATATTTAGTTGCGCTTCGTTTACGAGCCACCGTTAACGTTCGCTGCACCGATTAACCCTTTCTCACCACTCCGTCTTATCCTTCGTCTTAATCGGTCTATTCTTAACGTAGAGCGTGTAATTTCGAAATGAAATTTAATTTAATGCAATTGCGCCAACGTGGATAACTGTAAAATGTAATAAAGGAGTTTCTTAAAGTAGCTCATACAATTGAATCAGTTAACATGAAACATGGTACGAGAGAGGGTAAAATTGTTGTACAGTCTTGATTCTTGATGGATCGCACGTATAGGTGTAGCTGGAGGTGTAAAAGTTATTTACACGCGAGATAAAAGGCACAAGGGATGGGATGAGGCTTGTTTGTTTGACCGTAGCGTGCTGCCATCTCGTGTTTTCGTGTTTTCGTGTATCGTGACCCCGTGGAACGGGGTCACGTGTATGTACCTAGTCGCTTCCTTACGTCTCGCTCCGGTTTTCGCCAACACGAACCATGTACAAATTATTGGTATAAACAAATCGCATAAAAACATCAGATGCCCATTTCCTTAACCCCCCAATTAAATTAGTTATCGAATTAAATTTTAATTTCACGTTCTTCGTACGAATAATTTGAGGGTAACTTTGCATATGCATAGTGAGGGCAAACTGAAATATAGTAAAAACTTGGTGTATTTATATAAACCTCATCTTGCGAGAAACTTAATCGTTAAGCAAGTTGGTCCCAAGATTTGGCAAAGAAAAATTTTGTATTGCATCAATAGGTAGCTGGTGCATTAGATGCGCGCCTATGTAATTAGATTTCAAACGTCTATTTTTATTAATATCTAAATAGATGTTGTCGCCTGATTGAAACGACCGATCGCCTTAGAAATTCGTCAGGGATAGAGTTCGACTTGTGTCAAAGGTCAACCGAGGCCGGTGTCGAGTATCGCGAAACACGCGACGGTCTTCACCGTTTTGTAAGTACGGGGCGCGATCGATGGGTCTCGTTCGAATCGGATTGGCGAAATAAAGCAACGAAGGCTTGGGAGATATCGGTGACGACGACGCGACGCGATAGGGAGAGAGATCCATTCTTGACCGAGAGACGAAAGGTTCGTAAAAGTGAAGCTTCGGCTCGGAGCGAGGATCGGCAGATAGGTGGTGGCGCGAGGCGTGGCGAAGTATTGATCGTCGTTGCGATTTCCCTTCCTTCTTCACCCCCGACCGACCAACGTCATCCAACGTTGCGAGCCCTCTCGCTTTCTCCTTCACCCTCCCTGCGTCGTTCACCCTCTCTTCCCTCTCTGTCTTTCGCTCTGCTACTTTCACCTCCGCGCCCACCTTCGCTTCGCTATTGCCACCGGCATTCACCCTATAGTCCGGCCAACGAATCTGCACGCGTTCGCATCTCCTCTCTCTTCCGTTACTTCCCTCCTCTGCTCTTCCGTTCCGCTCTTTTATCTTTTCTTGTCGTATCTCATGGTCCTTTGGCTTCGCTTCCTTTACTCGCGTATGTACTTTTACTTTCTTTCGAAGCGTAGGGGAGAACAAGAAAAACTCGCCTAATACACGTATTGCTCTGAAAAAAGTTTACATTGCCAGAGTTGTTTCAGCTTTATGGTTTGCTTAATCCAAAAATACGAAGCATACGTGGAACCTGGTCCTCTGACGACTCATTAATATCATTATGAAAATTGGATTCTGCATGTGTATTTCATTCATTTATAATGTAAGATTTAAATATCTCCTGTGCAGCGTTTGCGATCTCACATAAGCTTTACAGTTTAAATATGATGCTTCGGTGCTAGCAAAGCTTTTGTTTAAGAAAAAATGATTGATTCAGCCAACGACTCGTTTCTGTAAAATGCTAGTTTCATGCGTTTTTGCGTATCACTTACACAAATCGTCGGGGGCATCGTAGAATTTGCCAGCAATTTCATTCCAGAAAATTGTTTGGCTTTCGGCCGATGCCGGTTGCCAGAGCGCAACATCATTGCGAAAATCGCTTGATGCGCTCTCCATTCAACGCGACCGGGACACCTTTACCGTTGCCATGTGTCGAGGGAACGATGAAAGTTATCGTCGGGCTGGGCGTACCTGCGAAGGGGTGGCTCATTTATCCCCGGGTTTCGAGGAACTCGCCAATCTCGCTAATTCCTTTAGCCCGTAGTAATTCGATTGCATCACGAAATTACGGAAAAGTAGCGAGTTAACTCTGTTTACGCCGTATCGCTTCCACCTCTGGATACTCGAAGAATGGCTTTGAAACTCTTCTCCCGGCTCACTTTTCATTATAAAAATGAACACATTTTTATTTTCTGTTCTATTATCCACTTCTAAATTGTCCTACTCAGTTAGGTGTTGAAGAGATTTTATCATTGAACGTAATCGATTACAAATGATCAGTTGCACGTTCGCTCTCTTTACAGCCTGTTTCGCAATTGCCTTCACTCTTTCGCGTTACTTTTACGCGTTTCTATAATCATAACATTTTCAGGAAGGATTTAAGAAAATGATTAATTGTTTTAATATTCTCGTATCTTGTATTGCATAGATTGGATTGGTTTGGATTCATTGAAGGAAGCCAGGTTCCAAGGACGGAGTTCTTGCGTTCCGGAATTTTTTCATCTCGTTTGTCATTCATTAGACTCGGTAACGAGCTTTCCTCTAGACGTTTGAATTCAATTAACCGAAAACTCTTTCGTGCTCGAGTCGAAACTCTTGTGTTTACCCTTCGCCTCTTTAACCGATCCTCGTTTTCCGCCGGAAATTAAATACTTCCAACCGAGCGCGCTTCTTTTTCTTCCTGATATTCTTATCCTTATTCTTGATACTATTCTAGTCTAACGTCTATCTTTAATCTCGGTTGAACGATCGGGAATCGAGGTTTCATTGATTTTCGAACCCGATTATCCATTTTACGTTGTCCCCGCGCCAAAGGGAGCTATCGGTAAACTAATTCTTATTCATTTTCCGACAACGTGAAAGGTTTTACATAATGCAGGCTAACCAGACACCTGCGCGTTAGCCCGAGAGCCGAGGGCCGCATTTTTCATTCGTGGTTCGGTTATTATTCATTCGACAAACCCGTTCAACGAAATTTGCCAGTTTACAAGGCGAGTTCGCGTTGCTTGCCGCGTGGAGCCTGTGATCGGAATTGCTAATACGAAATCCCGTCCTCCCCATTGGAAATTCTTGCCGCGCACTGGTATCGCGTTGAAGTTTTCAACGCGACACGACGCGCGCCGCCGCGTCGATTGTGTCGTCCGAACATTCTCCTCGGTGGTTTTTCCCAGAAAAATAATGTATACAGTATCTCTGACGTGGTGCGGCAGGCATCATGTAATATCAATATTTGTCAAGTTGAGATATTAGCACTTTAGAGACGTGTCGAAAACGTCATGTTCAAATCATTTCTAACACAAAAATTTCTCCTCTTCCCGTACTTAGTTCGAAGATCAAACGTATGTGCATTGAGAATTTTTATCAGGTTTATAAGTGATATATCGCAGAGATTGGGAACCTTTTTATTGTACTCGAAAACTGTATCAGAGAACTGACAGACAGAATTTATCAAATTTTAGGACAAATAGTGGCTCAGTTTTTAAATCGGCCCAACTATTCTTCTCGCGGTCACAATAGGTTGGCAAGAACCTCGCGAGAATAGGGGAAGACGCGGGACGTACCTATTTATTTACGTCATCGTCTTACGTCAGATCGCGCCGTAAATCTCCCAAAGGACAATAAATTTGAACTATCTATATCTATCTGTATCTTTTTTCAGTTCACGGCGAAAGTTTGCTCCGCGTAATCGATCCGCATCTCACATATTTTTTGCACGATCGTGAAAGTAGGATAAGTTGTAATTAATTATCTGTATACGCTGAATAATTTCTTTTGTCTACGGTAAATTAGCATGTGATGTACATATAAATTGTACATGAATATATTACTCGAATATTCTGATACTACTTTATCGTCAGGTCGAAGCTCGTACCTTTTTATTTTTAAAGTAATTGTTTATTGAGACAATGTTAGGATGGCACTTACAGTCAGCGTGCGAAAGATCCTTTCTCTCGGTGCTCGGCGATGACGTTAACCGTGGGCAAAAAGGCTTGTACGAAAGAAATTGAATCGATGATAGCGCCTTTTATCATACGGAAAGAGGGGGAGTCAGGTTTCAGGGTGTGAACGGGGACGTCGGTTTCAATTAGAAAGGACGCATCGGTACCGGGGAGGAGAGTACACGACTCTCGGTGAGAGGACTCTCCCGAACCACTTGGCCTTCCCTATGGAGTGCCTCGTCGGAATCTCTCCCTAACGACCGGAGAAAACCGCGCCTCGCGAAAACAACAACCCCCGCGTCTCGTCCGTGGGGGATTTTCGGTACGGGGGCGAAACCCGGGTAAATCCTGCCCGGTCGGCGGAACAAAACGGGAGAGAAGAGCGAGTCTCGTGTAAGGGAGAGAGAGTGTTTCCGCTCGATACTCACGACCGAAGCGAGGGTGACGAAGCCTCCGAGAGTACTCTTCCGTTTCTACGGAGGAAAATCGATGCACGTGCCCCCCTTTTTTTATCTCCCTACTTCGAGGTGCTTCGCCCCCTTTTACCCCTGCCACAATTATATGATTTCACCGCTTCTGCCACTCGAGTATCTCGTTAATTATATTGTTTCGTCTTGACTTTCTTGTTTTCTCTTTCGTTTCAGAGATCACTGATGAAAGAGAGGGACAGAGACAGAGACATGGAACTCGTCGTGGCTTCCTGAATCGGTGAGTACTCCTCTAACCCTCGTTCTCATCTTGGATAATCGTCGATGCGTAGATCGCCGTTCTCGTCTCTCTTTACCGTGTCTCGTTCATCGATCCGTCCATCGGCGTTCGTCAAATGGCAGGGACGTACAGGTTCGAACGGTACAGAGATTACGGTCTGTAACAAACCAGAGTCCATACGTGGAGCAAAAATAATGACGAACGAGCTCTATTTAATTATTCTTCAATCGCAACCTTTATTTCATCTGCAATTTCATTCTCTGTCTGCAGTAAATTTGATAAATAACGTGAAAATAAACATGAAAACTTGAGGGAAAACGTGGAAATGCAGTACGGTATATGAAATGCATGGAATTTTACCGCATGACTAAAAGGTTCATTAACCTTATCAATGTTAATTATATCGTTGTTGAATCAGTATCGTATGAATAATCGCAATGAGTCAGTGTCGTGCAACATTTACTGTCTTCGAAGGTAGAAAGTTGATTTTACTATCAGCGAGCTAACCCGAAGTTAGACGTTTCCTTTGATATAGCTGATCGTCTGATTGCGAGATAGTAGAGTATCGTGACGGATATGGATCGTTTTAGTCGTATACGCTTTCTTCGGTATAGTCGCGAAATCGCGCAAGCGCGACGTCAGGTGAACGTAATGGGCATATTCGGACCGTGCGACCTTCGCGTGTCACATCCTACGCTTTTCGCGCTTCGGACATCGTCCTCCGTTTTCTATTCATCGCACGTTTCGGACGACATCGTTGGACTCGCGATTGCTTACGACTTAATCCACTAGAGAATCCATAGAGTAAAGTCTTCAGGTATCAGAGAGATACAGAAGTTTTGGCACGTTAGAATTTTTAACTTACTGGAAGATACAAATAAGGATGTCATTTTGTTATGTACAAATGTGTCAATGTTTCATTTCCTGGATTTCAATTAGTGTTTGGCTTTTATATTTTCGATAAAAGAATTTTCATATTATATGCAGGCTTTGAAATCTCGATTTGATGCAGAAGGAGTCACGTAGAGAAATTAGTTAAGACAGATTAGGAATAACCCTGTCAATTTTAATATTGAACGAGTGCAATGTTTTAAAAGTGCGCAAAATTTTATCGCCTGTTTATATTTTGTGAGCAATCATTCGTAGTTCTCATTTTGAAATAGGTTTCTATGTTCTTTGTTGAGGAAATTAAGTATTCCATACATTCATTCGCTTCAGGCTGTCTTGGGTTTCCTTATGGCTCCCGGGCGTATAAAGGATTAAATACGGACGTTAAAGGATTAAGAATGAAAACTGGACAACTGCAAGTTGTACTACGTACGTATTTAGTAAGGTTGCTGACATACATTTGGTTTAGTATCGGGCTAGATTGCACGGCAAGGCTTTTTTCTCGGCGAACCGTCTTACTTAAGTATCGCGCGAGTAAGCCAGGATAGCTCGGCTTTAAGCTTCGCGGCGTATCGCGTGACCGAGCGCATTCGTTCGCCGATAAGTTACGGTTATTGTCGTCGTAAAGAATTACCGACTTTCGAGCTTTAGCTCACGCGTTAAGAATGATCTCCTCCTTTTCACATTATAATATGCTGCTCGATTTGTTTCTACCAAACTGAATCTCAATCACGAGAGCTCGCCTAAATCGTTTGTCATAAAACATCTGAGTAATAAGGGTCCAAGTTAGTAATTCACATTAGGCGTATCGTACGACTGTAGTCGTCGTATAACATAAACTGTTAGAAAAAGAAGCTTCGTATCAGATGCAGTAAATCTGAACTGGTTTTATTAATCTATGTTGGTTGTAGGATTATTTATTTACTAAACACAGTATTAATGATATGTAGAAATTTGAATGAGCAAACGATCTCATTTACGTTTTTCCGTAGCAGTAGCGTTAAGTCAGGTCTGATCACAATCGGGACTAGATCACTGCCCCGTCGACAGTGATATATTCAATGAATGATGCGCCATTTAGTAATAGTAGGACTCCGCTCTGTTACGGGCGAGGTAGACGAGTACAACTATTTTTTATTTCTCTCGTTCATCTCCTATGTCGATATGAAAAATTATTTATACAAAAAAAGTAAATATAAATAATGTTTTATCTATACTTTCATGTATTTTCAATGGCATGATCTTGAACACTGAATGAAGAACAGTAGTCGTCAAGAAAATTAGTGGGCTCTTGTTATCTAAACGATTATCTAATTACGCTACTTGGCAAGTGTTTGGTTCGTCAGCAATTCGAACGCATGCGGGACAATAGAAATCGATCCTTTTTAAGGATTTCAAGTAGCTGACGAGCCAAACATTTCAAGCGAGGCTACTCCGACTTGACTCATCCTCTATTGGAATGCCGATTTCCTTATTGTCAGAACTAGCGTTTATTAGTATTTTGTATACATATAAAACGTGAAAACTGTTCATCTAAAATTTTTTAAATAAATAAAGTGCTATGTTCTGCATACTTTCTTCTTACGACTAAATGTCGTTCTGATGTGAATGAATGCCGTAACGGTAGATGCGAGGCACAGTTTCACTGGCAAACGAGGAATCGAAACCGGAGGCAGCTCGAGCGTTGAACTCACGGGGTGAGGGTGAATCTTTGCTGTTCGCTCCTAAAGGCTGAGCCGCGATGATAGTTTTGCCATCGCGTTCGCGTCTGATAGCACGTACTTGCCTATAACTGGTGACTAGGTAGGCAGGTATATAGGTTGGTAGGTAGCTAGGTATGTAGGTAGGGGAGTAGCGGCAGAGGATAATCTCGTGGTAGCTAGGTTGCGGTACTCTGCGGTACTGTACGCCGTACCGCCATCTTGCTCTATCGATTTTCACCCCCTGTCCTCCGCCTCTCCTCGGCTCTCTTTCTCGAGTCACCCCCGATTCCCTCAAGCTTCTTACTCGCCTGTTTCCTGTTAGCGACTTCTTACTGTCTATCATTCTTATCAGTAATTACGAAATTCCGGATACTCCTGTCCATTCTTCTATATAACCCTTAACTCGAACATTTGCATATGTTCAACTTTATACGTATGTGTAGCAGACTGTGTGTAGCAAAACTGTTGTCCGGGAATTTCTTTCGAATAAATAGTACCAATCGGTTAGATCAATCAATTTTTAATTCAAGTCTCACTGTTGAATTAGATATCGATATTTCATCAAATCTCTGTGTATCAATGGACTGCGGATTTATGTGCAATATGAAAGATTCAGGGTGTCAGTTTAAAAACATGTACTTTATTATTTAATTCATCGTTTAAATACTGAAATATGCATTCAGCTTTTAATATTCTAAGAATAAATAGTATTATATGTATACTACAGGCAGTATATATTATAATTTCTGCATATTCTCTTTTCTTATAAATGTAAGAAATTCACAGTCTGTCGAGGATCTATGTCCGCAGTTTATATTCTTTTACCATGTTGAACAACGATTAGCCGTAATAAGAATTACGCCGATGCCCAGTAATTCGTTAGGATTTCGTCTTCCGAGTACGGAAATAATCCCCGTTCGGTAGATAAACTGTCGGAAAATTCGCTGATCTCTTGAATATTTCAACGGATCAAGCTGAGGCTAGGCGTAGATAAAGTTGGAACTGTCCGTCATTGTCACAGCGTAATTCGCAGACTGACACGAGTTCAATGCGCTAATTCGACAGCCGTGTGAAAGTATCATCCAATAATTTGCTTCCGATAAAACTAGGATTCTATTAGTGAACGTCCGACTCGTTGATCGGTATGAATCCTTTGAACACGATCAATTTATATTGGGTCGAAAAATCTGTTTCCGGTTTCATGCAAGAAATATCAGGTTGTGCGTCATGGATGCAAGAGGATTCTGGATTACGATCTGCTTTGAAGGGATAAAACATTGAACTCGCATACTGTTTCCAATTTGACCGCAATTGTAGAAAAGTATTCGAGATCGCTTTTCACTAAAATAATGCAAAACCGCGTATATGTTTGAAAAATTGATACGGTTCGAGATTCCGTTTCACTATTTTCCGCGGATCTGCTCCTTTCGATTACTATTTATTTTTTATCTGCATTTCTGCCGGTAAAAATTTCAGTTCTCCGTAAGATTGGAGAAGGTATACGTAGAGCAGAGTTCTTTCTCCGAGAAACTAGCTAAATTCTAAGGCCGGAGTAAAGCGGACATAAAAGATGCATGAAGTTGGAAAAAATGTAAAAAAACTGCGCGACCCGATATTATCCACGTGTTCAGGTATTTAGGAACCCACTTGATTCTCGAATTTAGATTTGCATAGCGAGTAGATTTTATCGTTGATACCGAATCGTTGAACAGTATCGTAGGAGAGGACGAGCGAAAGGAGAACTCGGTTTCCCTCCGAGAAATCAGATTTGATCGTGTTACCTCGTGGTCTCGGTATCTGAAGAATAGCTTATTTCGAATTAGCTTATTTCGAGCAATTCTCGCATTGGTTTCTCGTGTCGCGAAATTGTAATCCGATCTGAAGGATTGTTCGAGTCTCGCTGTCGTTAAATATCGACGTTTATTTTTTAAAATCGACGAGTAATCACGGCGCGCACTTGTCAGCGAGCGTGTATATGTATAGACAGGATACGTACTCGTGTCTCTCGGTATTGCATCCGGCAACGTGTGACGTACTTCGGCCCCTTTCGCACGCGAGAGGGTGATACTCGTTTCAAAGGGATTATTTTAGAAACAGGAAGGTGGTTGGCCGACCACGCATCCACGCGAAACGTTTACACGTACGTACACACGTACGGGCACGCGCGTGCATTGTCTCTTTCAGTCTCTTTCGATACTGGCATCGCACCCTCCACGTTCATAGTAGAAGATCCAGTTATTTAAACGAGCTGGGAATTCGAATAATTCAGTGTTACACATCGGAAACTGTATAAAGTTCAAACAATTTAGGGCTAATAAAGATTCTGACTTTTGAGTAATAATTTAGCTACTGAGAAATGATTTATAGGATCAGTGCTCGTATCAGATTTATTTCAAATTTCTTGGCTGATCTCGTGCCAAGGTTTATTTACAAGGTTTATAATAAAAGCACTGCGAGCTTCATTCTTCTGATTCGTTTTTACCCTAAGTCGAACCACGGGCGTGCGATAGAGAAAAAGGGTTAAAGGGTAAGGATGAAAAGGAATGCCGCCTGCTGTGCACGGTCTTGCCTCGAGTCGGGCTAAGTTTCTCGCTGGGCGATTTTTGTGAAACGTTTCCCGGTGCTCGCGCTTAATTAACTTTAATTAATCCGTAGAGGTCAGGCATTACTCTTTCGCCGAGATTAAGCGGAACGATATTAAGCCGACCGAGATATCCTGACATCTGCCACGTGCCCCCTTACCGCGTTCCCTTGTCCATCGGTTTTCCTTCTCCTGCGTAAATAAAAATATATAACGTTATAAATGTGCTATGAATTCGTTGATTGAACAAGTTGCCTAAAAAGATTTCTGTACGCGTAATTCATGAAGGAAACGATTAGATTTTGTTTTCAACGTTTGTAATAAATGATTTTATTTCGTAGGTATTATATAAAATTGTATTTCGTGTTTGTGACGTGAGTTAGGTCAATTTACAAAGCTGATACAAGGCAATAGAAAGTACATTGTATTCAGATTTAATTAATGAATATTCAAACGTTATCTTCCTCGTTCTTCTACGATCACTTTCTATAATTCACTGTTTGAAATTAGACACCTTCTACGTTCTGGGAATGTACAGTACGCGTACACAGGGTTTAATCTGTTTGCGATCGATTTTCAGAAAAAGAGATTGCACGCTGCGCCGCGGTGCCGTCGCGATTTCATCGCGTAATTCTTCAGGAATGCAGTTTCGAATCGAGATATCTCCTACCGTGATAACGAATCACGCTTATTATTAGACCTGCAACGTGTTCAGTTCGATGTACCGTCGTCTGTTCACTTTTATCACAATTTCACTTGAACGCTCATCGCAATTCTTTAATCTAGCTCTTCAGTATCTGAAATTGCTTGCGAATACGCGATGTTCAAAGTTCATTTTCAGAATTCAATTATTATATCTGAAAATTATATGAATCGATAATTCACTGTATAAAAGAGCACGTTAGTAATTGCAAAATAGAGGATTGTTTCCTTTTTGCTAGGGACAAACATTGTGGGTGTAAATAAAAAAAAACTGCTGAAAAGGAACGAGGAAAGAACAAATGTATTTTAGGCGTAAAGGATTTGGAGTAAATATTGCACGGCAGCCGTCAATTTGGAAAGGGGCCGTATTCCCATACCGGTTTCATACTGTCTGCAGAACTGCGAGTGCCGGTGCAGACGCACCTTCAGGGAAAAAGATAGCTACGAGTGGGAGAAGCGAGCGGGGATCGCGCAAGCGTCAGCCCCGAACTTCCCTCAGGCAGCAGGGTCTCCTCTCCTCTCCTCAGGGCGAACACTGGCGAACAGTCGTGCGTGGCACTCGACACGCGACACGTCGCGTCTTTTCGTTTAGTTTCACTCTCGGCTTGCGTTTTACTCGAATTGCGTGCCGCCTTCTCCTCTGCCAGTTTGCACCTCCGCCTGTTCTCGCCTGCTTCGCTCGGCCCTGTTATTTTCTTCGGTTTTCTCACAGCTACTCGCGTCTTCCTCTTCACCTTCTTCTCTCGTCCTCGTCCCTCTTTTCCTGTCTCTTTCTCTTCTGTGTCTGTGGGTTCGAAATAGTACAACCCATTCAGTCGTTCGGCGTTTGATCGAGTGGAGCACAGCGGACAATCGGTGGTTCCGGAAGTAAGTAGCGGTCGTGACGTCAGCAGACAAACAGAGGCTACGTCCAGGCCAGGATTTTCCCTTATCAATGCCGATTACGCACGCAGTCGATGTGATATTTAGTGTCGTCAAGGTGCTGCAGGCTTCGATAAAATTGTTCGACTTCTGCCCAACGTCTGATCCAGTGGTTACAGTGAGATGATGAGTGATTCGATGAATGAAGTTTCTCTGTGATAGATGCAATATTTGTTCAAGTTTTGAATTGTAAATCAGCGACTACGTGCCTCTCCCGGACGCGGAGTGCTCTTGGAGTCGAACCGTCCACGCACATTTTACCCTCGTTCTCTTCGTTCCGATCGGTTCTGTCGTCATCGTTTCGATGGACGTATCCTACGATCGCATCGATCGTCTTTGGCTCTATGCGAGAGACACCGTACAGAGGGAAACGACGGGATCGATATTTACGAGGTAAGATGCCTGTCGTCCTGTTGCGAGACACTCCGGGGTGCTTTAGTTACGTCTGTTCAGATCCGATCGAACGTCGAATCGGCCGTGAAATTGGCTAACAGAAACGGAGCCTGACCCCGGAGGAAGGTTTCCCCGACAAGTGTTCGTGTAGAACGAGATTTACGATCTCTTTTTTACAATCTCGAACCAATTCTGTTTCTCAATTTTATCTTCTGCTATAGACTCGTACCCGGTTTTAGAAATTAATATCACCTCCTACCGTTTTACTGTCGCGTGCCGTGCAAAAGTCAGCTTATGGATTATCGTGAATGAAACCGCGACGTCGTTACTTAGAGTTAAATTATCACCACTAAGTGCCATCAAATCAGTTCCGGATTGTATTTGAAATAAACTTGTCGGAAACACGCGATTTCTATCGGGCGCAATGAAATACACACTTGGAATGAAAAAGACTTTTTACGATCTTGCGATTTGCGTCTAAACAAGTCTAAATTTGAGTGTAACATGTATGCTTATCGACGAGCCAACGTGTTGCATCGTGACACGTGAAGTCAAAGAGTACGTGGCACTTGGATTTCTAATACCGTCCAAAGAGCAGAGCGTATCTGGATGATTACTCGTTGTATAATTGTGTAAGTGTAAACACAATAATCAATCCAATTACTTGGTGTGGTCCAATTACTACATACTCGGGCGAGACAGAATCGTGGATCGAACGATGAAAGAGCCATCGGTTTTTGCTTGACCAATCTTGGCCCCGATTGAATTTCGTACGACATTCGGACGGATGAATTGGTCGGTCACGCTGGATGAAAGCGTCGCGGGAGCCAATGTGGTCGGCTGCTACAAATAATACTGGCACACATACATGTGTACGCGGATATTGATTTCCCGGCGACTAGCTTCACTGTAAGCTCGCTTGAGACATTCCCCGTTCGTAATTATTTGTTCTTCTTATCGTTGCATCGCGGCTCGTTTGTAACGTCCCATGCGACGGAACGGCTGGTGGTTCGTCATTACGCGTGGCGGGTCTCAAAAGAGGAGCGCGATAAACACGTGCGTCGATTGAACGACGTGACGAAATTACGAGGTTCAAAGACGAGTACTTCAAGTACGATGTGTCGGTCATACTCTTATAGACTCTGATGATTTTTAGTACCTGTCCTACCTGTAGTTCATGTCCTACCTGTTTAAACCGATTTATGATGTGTGATCGTAAGAATTGAATGTATTAAAATTTCATCGCGTTTCAGTATTTAATACCGTCCAACTTATATCTATAATTAATGTATCATTTAATGATTGATATAATGACGAAACGTCGAAACTGCGTTGCGTTACTTCCTAAGATAATTCATGTTCATCTGCGACTACGTAATTGCTGGTTAATTAAGTCGAAGGCGGAGGAGGGGACAAATATTCGCGGAATGTGGGCACTGATTTATCTAGCAACTTCGGAACGGACGCCTTTATCGATCCATCGTCGACGGAGTTCGCGAGTTACCGATTTCGTAGCTTCCCGTTCAAGGCCACGACCGGTGAAAAGAACCGGGAAATATTCGGTCTCGGGGACCGGAGTTAGGCACGCGGGTCCACGAAATTGAAGAGGGTCATTTGATTTATGGCGGAACCGTTCCAACTCCGCCACCCTCCTTCCTTCCTTCTCGCTCGAATTTTGCGAGCGCACCCTCTCCAATTACTCTCCATCCTATGTTCTCGAAAATGCTCACCACCCTCTCTCCGTCTTACGTTTTTGCCCGATTCGTTGTTGGAAAACGAATTACGGATACGTGGCCCGATATTGAACTTCTCGGATCGACGATTTTAATATTTAAACCAGTCGCTTTGCAAATGAACAAGCTAATTTCGTTGCTTCAACCTCTCATCGACCGTAGTGGTCATTAGCGACGAGTGAGGATTTGGTACCGTATGAAACTTTGATGGAATTGGGTGAACCTATTTTTCGTCTGGATTTCGTACCACTGGAATACCGTGGTTGGAATATGGGCATGACTTTCCAGAGGTGTCGGCCTGGATACTTAGGAGTCGAGATCGAATTCGAGATCTCCGCTTTCGAGCCCGTCTCTCAACTACCGCGGCTTCCAAGTCGATTTTATTTAATTTTAATTTAATTAGAATTCGATGATGTTTAAGTTGGAAGTAATAGAAACCGCGTTGAAACAAATATTTAAAATTGCGTTTCTTGTTTAATTCTAATTGCAGGTTTGCTTTGTGTTGCAGGTATGTAACCGTAGTGGATCTGTTTCTACCGATAGTTGAGACTCGCGACCGATATCTTGTCTTCAATGCTATCTCTACATTCAAAAGGTAATGATTAAAACGTTTGTATTTTCAAATTTTATCGACATGCTATACGTAGCTCCTATATGAATACAATATCTGAGGTAATGTGCAACTAATTGAACGACGGATGTAGAGAAGAAATAAATGTGATAAGCTGGGTTTTCTACGCGCGTTTTCCGCTTTTCACACACGGAAGATACCGTTGAATGCAATCGCCGATACAGGCGTTACGATAACCGATAAACGTACGTTTTTCCTTGCTGGCTCGCGCATTGATAACCGTGTTTTTCTCTTTATAATATGTGAATTGACGTGACGCGCAATCGATGCGATGGACAGGAACGGGGACGGGACGCGAGGCAGATCGAACAGCGTGTTGTGTACCGAGTAAAGTACGTGTAGCTCCGTGTTGTACGTTTCGATTCGTACGAGCGCGCTATCTTTCGTGGAACAGCTGCGTCCAAATCGAAATTCAATGTTCCGTCGTGTTAGACAAGACGTACAAGCATAGACAAGGATAGGATAAAAATTCTTCTGTACAACCTGGTTTGCTTTAATGTTCACAGACCTCCCATGAATTCATACCTGTTAGGCTTAACTGATATCGTCTTGTCTCACTGTTGTCCCTCTTTCTTATCAGATGAACTTATCATGTAGTATTTATTGTGAATTATTTCGAGAATCAAACAATTCATTTATTGCGCAAAAATTATGGATACTGTTCTTGAACTTGAAGCACAATTTACGAGTATAATCGAATCAGAACGAGTCAATAAGAGCCGCCATTTGAAACGAGCAATTATTTATTGATTCGATTAAAAGAAACTTCCTAGCCATTTATCAAGGCGGTACTCATTTATTGTATATGAGGTGCAATTTTTGTCCACGTCACTTTTTCTACCCTCTGACTTATTTTTATTGTACAATTACAGACAAATGTGAACTTTCAGCTTATTCGAAAATTGGGACATTTATTTCTGCATTTTATTAAGACAAGATTCATTTTCTGAATCTGTAGTAAAACGAAGAATCAAGGGGTAATTTTAAACACTACTTCGTATCGATTCAACTCGTATATATGTACATATTATAATCATTTCACGTAATTCGTACTGTTACAAGCCGCGCACTTCTGGCAAACAAGGATCGCGTATTCTTTGTGCCAGTGAGCATCCCCAGAGTATTCTTGGCGAGTAGCAGTCATAAATTCGGATTAAGGGTGCGACGGCACCGTGGTCTCCCTTGCCACGAGTTAGCGTAACTTTTCAGCCCATGTTACGGTAACCAGAGTAACGCAGTCCGATGGTGCTAATTCTGCAAAGCTCTAGAACGCAATTTTAGAGTAATACTCGCGCACAATGAAGGAGTGGCAAGTGTCAAGGATGGAACGTTTCTGAGAAAGCGTTTTCGTTAACCGGAGGTTAAGTGGTTCCTCTTGTTGACCTCCGCTAAAATACACGTTTACCGTTGTCCCAGTTTATAGAAACCCGCGAGTCACTGTTGAAAAGAAAGTAAAGCGAAATTGTTACGGATGTGTAATTATCAACCGTGTCAGGTGTTTGGCTGTAAATATTTTTTTGACCCGGCCACGTGCTCCGATGCTAGTCTCGGAACTGAAGATTTAATTAGGTTGTTGAGTGAAAAGTATTAAAAGAGAGATCTTTCGGTTGTTAGGGTCATAAGTATGTTTAATTACTTAATGGTCGTGAAAGATACCTGTAATTACACGTATGGATGACTCGGTTCTCCATAGACGAAATTTGCAGAGATTACAAGAGGCTGCATGTTTGCCTGGTATACACAAATGCGATAATTAGCCCTGGTGGGCGAATCAAACAGAGTTGGCTGAGTAGCGCGGAGCACGGCTCGTTTCCTGATTAATGGATACTACGGTCTCCTATGCTCTGCCGCAAAATCTACCTACCGTAGAAATTCCACTCCTTTTGTCTCATTCTCTCCACGGTATCATCCTCTATTCGAAAAGCAGTAACGACAGTAATCGTGAAAACGCGATTGCTTAAAAGTCGTGCGTTCGTGAAAACTTGTGCTGCCTCAGCTCTTCGAGATAAATTCATTCGTGGATTCGTTCATGAAGATAATACGGGGAATATAAACATTATTCTGGTCGACGTATCTGCGAATGGTTAAATCCGCGTCGTCTAATCAAGAAAGCCAATTACGGAACTATTCTTATTTATGTTAAAATGATCTCGTCTGTCGGATTAAGTGGAAGGAAAGCTTACTATGAATCGAGTTGATAACGGCGCGCGTCGCGTGTCCCTGTCAATGAATTTGCCTAGCGCTTGCCATTTCGACCAATGAATATTCATTGGTCATCGCATCGGTGGGGACACACGTAACGCCGCGGGTAACGTGCCACGCACATTGAATAATAGTTGCACACGCAATCTGCGTTAGATGTAATCGCGGGGTCAACGTTGAACGTTATTATCATTGTTATGCGTGTGCGTCAAACTTTCAAGGCGATCCTTCCCTGGAGTTCTCATAATATTTTCACTGGATTAACGTTAATCACGATTCTCGTCAGTGTATGATTGATTCTTCATAAATTCAGAGCGGAAGCGTTCGATCTCATTGTTTTCATCGGTTCAATCGGAATTTTACGTGCATATTCATTATTTGTAACAGTGGGAACGTTTCTCCAAATGTATTTATGTCTTTCAATAAAGGATTATTATTTGTAAATTGTTTGTCAAGTTAATCCAACAATTTCTATGAAACCAAATTCTGTTCCGTGTGAAAATGAACTTTTCGTCCATTAACGATTCTATAGTAGTATAGTCGAGGCTTCGATAGAACGCGCAGAATTTTCTTAAATTTTGCCAAAGAGTAAAGTAAGAGAAATACATTCGACTGTGTCCAGGGCTACGAGGGTCGATGTTATTTACGCGAGCGTTAGCGGTAACTTTAAAGCCAACAACCGCTGACTCCTAAGCTGTGTTCTATGCTAAAACTGCAGGAAACTCGAAATAATTACTAGGCACGATTTAATGCGGTTTAACGTAACGCGACTCACTTAATTACTACGTGGGACAATGGCAATTAAAAGTTTTCCTCGTGGACTCGAGGCATTTCGACAAATCCGGATGTGTTGTTCGTGCATTTAGTTGTGATTCTCTTCTCTACGTTTTTCAATTTTCTTCACCCGTACAAAATGCTGTTTGTGTTGAAACAATAATTCTTCAATATTTTGAGTAAATACACGTGCGTAGAACGTAATATACAAAACTACTATTATTAACAGTATCTCTTTTGTATAATTTGATAAATGTAATTGGATCAGGATTGAGATTTGTTCGGAGTACATATAAGAATTGGTATTAGTATTGGTAAATAGAAACAACGGTTTTATGCTTTGCAATATAATTATTTATTGACTTTTCTTCTTTTTGTTTTAATTAAGCTATATACATATATACGAATTATAAATCAATTTAAAAGAGAATCAGTTAACATTTTTAAAATTGTATAAACAGTTTCGTCAATCGATATGGTTAATTCTTTATCCGGAATCGATCATTCGTGCATCTCGATGGAGTCGGTTTCGATGCACACGTCAAGGTTAGATCAGACGGGGTGAGTTGGTTGGTGTTCGGCGGTTTAGAGAACGTAGTAGGGCGCGGAGTAAGCTGCCGCGTAATAGGGGTAGCCGGTGTACGCGGCGTAAGGGTAGCTGTAGGCAGCGGCGGCTGTGTACGCGACGGGGGCGGTGTACGCCGCGGTGTACGCGACAGGCGCGGTGTATGCCGCACCCAACAACAACCCCCGCTTGTCCCGAGCCGGCGAGTTCTCCGCTTCCGCTGCCACTGGCTCGCTATTAACCGGCTCGATCGACTCTGTTTCCAGAGGCTTCGCCAGAGCTACACCGACCAGGGCGAGCAAGACGACCATCTGAAATCAAATGGTGGTTGTACAAACGAATGATAAGATTGATTGGGCCATTTGATGCATTATGAATCACGTATAAATTATAAAAACGACCAGTCGCTCGATGCATTATTGCTACTATATTGGACGTTCTATAATATATTTTGTAATATAAATTAAATAACTACGCTATTATTTCATGTTCGCCAGTGGAGGAATTTCGACTAATACAATTCCCGAAAGTTAATTATTAATTATTTAATCAATTCATATATGTGAACTTTGAAGTTCGATTATGAATTTTAATTAATAATTAATCATTTGGATTAAATTTTCAGTCCGGGAACTGACGTTCGTTCAATATAAAATTCTTCCGTATATTATAATTATATAACATGATTATCCAAGTCATAAAAGATCTATTGTTGAAATTATACTCTATTATACAGTGCAGGAATTCATTGTTTTATACATTGAGACAAGATCGTACGAGCCACTTGAAATTATTATATTTCTCTATTTGATAATACTACGACAAATTGACGTAGTAGATATCGATGAAGATGTATTTACTCACCGCGATGCACTTCATGGTTGTAAACCGTGTGGTCTGTTAGAAGACGAGAGAGGAGAAGCTTCGAAGTCCGTTGGAAATCGATTGATGCTCGAGACACCGCGTTACGCCCGTTTTATACCCGTTCAGATCCCGAACCGACTCCACTGATACGTGCATCGATTTTCAATATTATTTACCAACCGACCGGTTGGTATAGCTCCCATATAATTATTAACCTCTTGGCGTTGTCGGTCACGGGACTGCAATAGGAAACGGGCAACCTCTGTGCTGCCCGGATTGAGTAACCGAGTCCTTGGCCACTGTCCAAAACGAGAATCGGCCGTCCGATGTTCGGACATTTCTCGTTACTTTGTCCACCGATCGTTCCTCTATCGATTTTCAATTATCGTCCCATGTTTGTGCGAAATCACGTCGCGTTTTCATGGTCCGTTTCGATCATTAATATTTAGCTTTCGAATTTTTAATGAGACAGTGAAAAGACGATTATGCTTTATGAATTTTTTTAATGAAATGGATATATGTTTTCTTGATTAAGATAGATTCTAAATATAATTCACTTGTAATTAGTGTTGCTTCGGATCTGTTCGAGAGAATTGATTTAAACGAGGCACATTTGTACGCTCGGTCTAGGGAAAGTTTCGAAGGGCCGTTCTACGTAGATGAAAACGATGGTCGACCTTGCGGAGGTCGAATCAACCTGGAACTTCGAGTGGGAGTATAATAGTTAACTCCCCCTATTGAAATTCCATTTGGCCGAGCAGTACGCGCAACCTCGCGATCGTTTTCACGACAAGCGTTTAACTATTCCGTCCTTGTGCCCAATTGGTCCCACGGAGGCTAAGCGATGTATTCGGGAGAAAATGCGAAGGGCCCGATCCCTTTTATCGTAAACATGGATAAATTCTATTAGATTTGAATTTTGATTTCATTATCAAAATGTTATGCGAATCTCCGTATACAATTGTCTAGGCAACAGACTTGTTTCAGTATGAAATTTTTTTTTTAATGAAAACGCTATTGTTTCTTTTATCTACTACTCTTTGTCAGCATGTACGCTCTTTTACTATTCTCTGCTCCCTACAGTAAATGCAGTTCGTAGGAGTGGCAACGTTAACTTTGAAAGAAATATTGTAATTTCATTCAACGTTGAAAAAATCTCACGTAGCTAGAAAATCTCGGGTTTAAAAGCCTTTGAGAAACGAGGCAAGTGGAGAGAACGAATCATTTTCGTCCGGCCTCGTCGAGTCGTTATTCTCGTCGTCGTCGTCGTCGACTACGACTACGACGACGACGACGACGACGACGTCGGCGTCGGCGGCACGGTACGATGCACCGGGTTGCGCCACCGAGTGGGTAATAACGACGTCGAGAGGACGGCAACGATAAGGTTTAAGTAGCGCGTCGAGTGTATATCGCGGCGACTGCTGCGAAATTTGATTAAAACACGCGAAAAACCGCCGACGACCCCGTTATTGCCCGATTATGCTAATCCTCTGTCGGCGAGCGATCGTTTATTATCTCTTGAATGAACTTGTAACAGTGTATCTGTTGTTCTTTGATGGAGAACGTAATATAAAAAGTAGTGCCTACTCAAACATAATAATGTACAATTTCTAAGATGATTAGACAGAGGAATAGGGAGCTTTTGAAAGAATTAGATAACAATTCTTCTACCGCGTCTGTATGAGAAGAATGGACTGAAATATGTTGCCCCAAAGGGTACGGAGTACGAGGTAAAATGTCTATTGTGACCCACTTGAAATTGTGCGTGGTAACAATCGCGTATATAGAAGCAAAGTAATCGTACCTGGTTAGCTCAGTTATTAACGCGTTTCGCACGTAACAGTTTGAGAGATCTTTAGATAAGATTGTGAGCGAGGTACGGCCGGGAAAATTTCACGGAGATTCTGAGAAAGGGATTTTTTTCGCAGAAGGCGGCTTTAAGCGTGCACGTGCACGAGCGTCGCTCGAAGCGTCGCGGAAAAGGAGAATCAGAGCCGGTGGAGTGGCACCATTGTTTCCTCGTTCTGTAGAACACTTTCCGCATTAGTGTTGTGAATTGGTACAATGCCGGGAGTCTCCCTCTCTGCTCCTATTTTTCACCACTTCTCCGTTGCACCTTTCCCTCTTCCGTTTTCCTTCTTCGTTTCTCCTTCGTCATCCGTTCGCTTACCGAACGCCTTTTACACGCTTCTATACCATTTTTCCCTTCCGACCGTTGCGACAGTTCCTCTTTCTCTTACGTTCTTCTAATACGTTCAGTTCAGACGTCTCTTTTAGACGTCCTAAGGTCGATTACCAATCGGATTCATAAAATAACTCGTGTTTACTTTGAGTTTTGGATAGGGGACAGGAAACGATTTCTTTAAACTTGACTTTTCCAATTTAGCGTTCCAAACTTGGAACGTAGAGCAGGACGTGAAGGGGGAAAAACGGTGAAAATCGATAGCTTAGCTCCCGATGAAAAGTTGTCGCAGTAGCAAATGCCAAGAGTCAACGTCACGACGCGATTTCTGGCCGCGACGCACCGAAATTCATCGGCACGCGGTCCGATCCCGGCTGGATATTCGATTTCGGTCGGTATTTGCACGTCCAAGTTAGAAATCCGTGAAAATATTGGCTTCCATATTGCATTCGCTCTTATAAACCGAAATGGGGATTCGACTCGATGAAGACTCGCCCCATGACGCGTCTCACATTTTTCCAATTCGAGCAAGATCAGCGGATGGAGAACGACAACGAAATTCCGAGTTTCTCTTGCTACATAAGAATTATTATTTTACTTACTGATTTCGTTCTACGAAAACGAAACATGAATTATGTGTAATAAAAAATTGAAATTGATTGACATGAAGAAATTAAAAATTCAACGATCATCACAAAGTTCATGACAATTCTTTATTACGTACTTTAATTTATTACCTGCAATTATTTGAGGAGAATAAAAACAGAGTAATTATTATATTGATATATAATTTCATTTTAATTGTAACTATGAATTCGCGTTAGAAAGATAACTGATTACTGAAGATAATTGGCTCGGATTGATTTTCAGCTAAGGGATGAAAATTTTATTGGTAGGTATTAGGTAGTGATCATGTGGATATTAACCTGAGATTGGTTATTAAATTCTGGATAATCGAGGAAGGATCCGCACTAGCGAGAGCTTCGTTTAATGGACGGTTTCAATTAAGTGTCGAGCTTTCGCTGACGGTGTACTCGACGATTTTTCGCACCCTCTCGCCATCTTATCCTAGTTACTACTTCTTCAAGATGCGACTTTTATCCTTGGCAATATCCGAGAGTGTCGTCTTAAATTTCCACTTTCCATTTCCACGTACTTTACTGTATCTCGCGTTCGTGAGATAGTTTCCTGGTGGTTAATACAGTCAATCACGGAAGTCATCGTAAACCCATTACATCCTATGAGGAAGTGTTTTTTATCACGTTACATAAAATATCGGTCTACATAAAAAACGCGGCTACTTTCGTGGTTGACTGTAAATGAAAATGAAAGGAAATATGTTCTCTAATTGTAGGAGATATCTGGATCATTGTTTCGAATATGCACGCAAGGTGTGTTTAATAAAAATAGATTTGGCGGTGAGTGCACGTTACACGCGCATCATTGTCGTCAGTGTTACGCAACTTTTGGAATGTGAGACAAATATAAAATCTTCAAGTGTACTCGCTTTCTTGTAAGCACAGTTTCTGCTAAATTTTATTTCAAAATTCAACTGCCTAGTCTCAGTCTTCGGACAGATTTCGGACAGATCATTAGTCTTGATCATTTTTCGTCAGTCTATCCTACGTATAAATTAGAATATAGGAAAAGATGAGAAACAGATGGACAAAGTGAATAGCTACAGAGCCAGACAAATTCTGTTGCAACAACGATAGGAACAGTGAAAAAATTTCTATACAATGTTTCTTTTACTCAATAAGAAATCGATTGACGAGTCGTTGGTAAAGCGTGAACAAACAGAAACAGGCTTGGTTTAAGGATTCGATCTTTTGGCGAATAATTTTGTTTGGAGCTAAGATTTGTTTATTCGAATTAGGTTGTGTCTAGCTGGCAATCGCTGGGAACCGGATCCAAGGGGATGTGACATTTAGGGTGGGCGATGTGGCGCCATGCGAACCCGGGAATGTCCTCCCGTCTCTCGTACTCGCTTCTTCCGCGTCTGGTTGACGGTGCGAAAAGATTTTCATTGAGCGTCGCCGTCGACGTCGTCAAAGGTCGTCTCGGTATAAATAACCCTGGCGCCGCTGTTGGCTCTTGCTCCCGTTTCTCCACCGCCTCGTCGGTCAATTCTTTAACCGTGTTCGCGAAATTCTCGCCCATTTCGCTCGTAAGCCACTAAACAGTCCCTAATTTGATAACGCGTTACCATTTATTCCCACCATTTATTCAACGAGCCGACGATATTAAGCCGGCTATCCTTATTCTTCTATGACATCTTCTTTTTTGTGCAAGACATATGTACTTTTTAGAAAAAGATCCAAAACAATTTGTATCATTTTTTGCAATTTTCAATGACGGTGAAAAGATATCTTCTTTTGCACTGTAATCATAAAATTATTTTGCATATCTAAGCTTTAAATAACACTCCTTTAATTTGTTCGTCACAAGTGATACGCATTCAATGAACAATGTTAAACTATGTAGTTACGAGTTTGGAAGGATTTCCAAGTATCCGGGAACGCGGCCTCGTTTTCGGTTAAGTGGCACGGAGAACCGGGAAACCGCAGATAAGAGGAGGGCCGGTTTTTCAGTTTTCAATTTAAAAAGTACTGAAGTCAGAACGGGAAAAAAAGCAGCAACGATTTGAAAACCGGGAAGGGAAGAGTGCCATTGAAAAAGTTTTCTATGAATTAGACGAGAAAACCGAATAACCTTCGTGTCTAAAGCTTAGGGAAGTTTCTCCTCGTGCCGTTCCGATGCTCCGATGAAAAGTTTCCCCGGCTCCTCGGGCTTATTGAGACTTTCGCACGACTTTATTACCGATTCTACGACTTCTGGGATGACCGTAAAATCAATCAAAGTTTTTTATTAGAAAAGCAATATAGACAGCATAATTTGCATACATGAATATGTAACTCGTGCTGCGGCTAATTTATTAACAGATCATTTAGTATATTTATTAGTAGATCTCTGCAGATTTCTATCCACTCATGGCAGTTTAAAGAATGTGTCTTAAATAAAAGTTTTAAATATTCCAATATGCACTCTGCTTCATTTTCTATATTTTTTGCATACACAGTTTTCTTGTAAGTGCATAAATAAAATCGTATTCGTTTTATTTCATTTTATGTAATTCAAGTGCTGATTGCTTGTTGCTCTAGTATATGAAGATTCTCTCACATGAACTCTTCCGATTAGTTCACACACACAAATATGGATTAATTCATACATCCTACTCTAATCTTACTCAATTTTATCATGTACGATATGTACATTGTTACGTTTCCATAAATGAACGAAACACATTTATCTTTGTTTCAGAGAGGTTTGAGAGTGCCCTAGACGAGTGGTCGTTGCCGTCGTCGTCGTTATCGTCGTTATCGTCGTCATCGTCGAGTTGTCAACGTCGACGTCGCGGGTACCTTGTCGCAGGGTAAGCAAACGTGAGGATACCTTCCCACCTTTTCTCTCATCTCTGTCTCTCACGAGCCGTTTAGTTTACTCACGATAAACGTACGTGGCTTGTTCGCAAACTCGAAACCCCGGCGTTCAGCGCTTTGATGGAACCTCTTTTCCCCCCACGATCCCTCCCTCGCCACCGTTTCCACTCGCCTCAAGCGGTTCGTCGATCGAACAAGCTGCACGTAACCGAAAGTCGAATAAACTAAAATCTATCCCTTTCATTGGGTCGGGACAATAAAAGTGATTAGTGGACTTTCTCGAAACTGTTTTTAATTACTATGTCAGAACGTCGTCGTCGTCGTCGTCGTCGTCGTCGTCGTCGTCTTTGAACCGGACTTTAATTAAGGTGAAAATTTTCTTATCGTTGATCGAAGAGACATGCCTCTTTTTCTTTTTAATTGTACGATAAAACTGCAAATTATGACTGCGTTTGAAGTTCGAAAGAATTAAATAAAGTTGGTAATCTGTAGAGGTTTGCAGTTTATATAAGGAAAGTGATAAAATATTTAACCCAATAGCGTTTGGCTTGTTCGATACGGGATTTTCAATTAGTGGGTCACGGGACAGCCAAACGGCGAACGTTCTGTTTTATTATCCCGCGAATGGGGCTGCGACAGAATGCTAAATTACGTTCTGGCGTGTCGATACGTCGTTCCGAGTGGGGTATCGCGATACGATCGGGTCTCCGTGCTCGAGTTACGGCGAGTTTTCCACGACAACGGCGGACCTGGGAAACCGGTGCACGCTTTTACGTGTCTCCCGTTGCTATTACAGTGTTTCTTTTATCTCGAACGGCGAATAAAAACGAACATGATACTGCCAGTTCCGAGATTGTAGATTCTTAGTTAAACGCGCCACTTGTTTCAGAAATATCCTTGCCAATAAAACGATTTTACGATCATCGGGCAGTATGTCCGTGATGCTAGATTAACAATTATACTTGTCGTTCGGTGCAACAAGTACCAATTCCAATATTTATCAAGTTCAGATATCACTACTTAAAAGTATGCGGAAAAGTTCATTTTCAAATACTTTCTGACACAGTAAATTCTACTGTTTCACAATTCATTTATAATCTACAGAGAATGAAAGCTTTATTTCTTCTTTCTACAAATGTTGGGTTGTCAGTTTGACCAATTTATTTTCTGAAAGACTGGCATGTACAAATGCCATTACGATCATTTCTAGATGAAATTTCAAATGATCGTCTTCTACGTTCATAATACAGACATGTGATCACTAAAATTATATTAAAAATATTTTACATGTTTAGCCAAATTACAATATTTGCTCAATGGACGTTTTTAATTAATTGAAATATCTTATTTCATTATATCATTCAAACATGCAACTTGTCACAAGTCTCGTTAGAAGTTTGACTAAATGACAATTTTCCAGAGTACAGCTTCTCTGCGAACAGAAACGGTGGGGTTTGTATGTAGGAAGCATGCTTTTGGGCGCGGCGTGTAATCGCGAGCGATAATACACGGGAGAGCTGAAGCCTAGCAAACTGGCACGCGTGCACTCAGTTTGTCGAGTGGCTCGGGTTAACGCGTTTTCTCTTGGCTGTGCCCTTTCGCCTGGAAAAAGAGTTCTCCCCTATGCCACAATCCAACCAGGCTTAAACCGTTCGCGGTGAAATAGATCCGAAGGATATCCCGTTATTCTCTTTCCCCTTCTTTTATCTCTCTTCAGCCGAACCGTTTTGTTACATAACGTTTGGATATTTAAAAATCATTGATGAAAATTATAATTTGGAAATATTTAAAGTTTTCTTTTTTTTTTTAAATACTTTTTAAATACGTGCACATGTGTCATAATTGTAGTAATTACTTATATTTATGTGTCATAATTTTGAAGTGCATCATTAACAAGAGAAATGTAAAAAGAAAATGGAATATGATTTTAACCAAGAGATTGTTTGGCTTAACGCGTTAGCGGAAACATGAAACTCCGCGTGTGCGAGTCGAACGACTGACATAGACGTTCCTCGACAGGAACTAGGGGGTAAGACGTGACGGATCCTCGTCGACGTCGACGTTGGGTCGACGGTAAGCGTCCGTAAATAATCGAGCGCGTCCCGCATTAGTCGCGGGGTCGCCCTTATCTGCCTTTGCGTTTATAATAGGGCGGTACGGCTTACTCGCCTCTTCTGAAAAGCCTCTATCTCTGGTTTTCCGCCCCGGGAGAATTTATGCGTGTCGCATATAAGCTGGGTACGCGTACCCTAATGCGTTCGTTACCATTACGGGTCTCCGAGTACGCCAGTCGTATCGCGAGTTACACTACGTAATCTCTGCGCTCGTTTTTTTTCTGCTTTCGAATTAGTAGAAATAAGTAGATACTCGTTTATTATTTGCGTCATGCACTGCTGGCCATAAGTATTATACCAGATATTAATACAATATTTCATATAATAATTTTTATAATGATTCACGAAAAAGGTCTATCATTATTGGACAAGATATTTGTCGACTACCGTGTTACGTGCACAATGCTGTGTTATAGTTATAGAAGGTGTCCGACAATTTCGTGACTTTACATAAAATGATTTTTCGCCAAGTACCGGTACAGCCTGGTACTCCTGCTTTGTTTATGGTAAAGTGCCTGTTAAGATTCTACAGTTCGACCTGATAAATTTACATGCAGGAGACAGCGGTCTTTCGTTTCGATGGCACGTGCCGATATTTGCCGCGGCCGAACTCGAAAGGGTAACGGGCAATCGCTCCTCCTGAACCGTAGCTCCGATTTGCGGTTCACGAACCCTCGACCGCAACGTCTCCCCTCGAATCGTCCGATTAAATCCAGTACCGGATTATTGACAGTCGCGTTGCGTCGCTTCGTTCCGCGTCCAGGTGGTTTCCAGCAATTAGCTTGAATTCAAATTGCCAATTAAGCGGATATTCTGTTGGTTCGAACCCGAGACCGGCGCATTGGGGATTCTTGAAACGCGAAGGAACTCGCAGGAGTCTCGAGAGTTTCTGTCTGAACGTGATGTGTAAAGGTAGAACAGCAAGGTAGGAAGTAATTCGAGTATCTTCTTAAAGAACCACAGAAGCTGTGGACGGTCGCGAAACGAATTGCGTGGAATTTGCGAGAAACGTGGCAAGTGATTTTCATACGGATGAAATTGGAGGAGCGAGCGACTACCGGGTTACCGTTTTCCCGCTATAAATAAGCAGGATCGATAGGAACGGAACAGAGAGAAAGAGGAGGAAGAGGAGGAAGAGGAGGAGGAATGGCAATCATTTTATGCAGACAGCCAGAAGCGCCGTTGCGGAAAAACACTCCCTTGGGTACCTTCTTTCCGGCTTTTCGGAACGCGAACTCGGGATATTTTCAAAATATATATTGGCCACATTTTTCAGCGGGCTAAATCTGAGACAGCTCCTACGACCGAGACCACCTGTACGCCTTGTAAAAACCTCGTTGGATTTTATATCCACTTCTATATTTGCTCATCCACTGCTGCAAGTGTATCTGCTTAGTTTCGTTTACGAACAACATAAATATAATTTTAGTATTTCAAAAGTAGATACGCGAAACTCTGATTCGAATGCAAACATTTGAAACGTTCTTCAATGATCGAACGATATTCTCACGTATATTTTCTATCGCATTTTCGGTTCTCTGTCTCAGGTATCGCGAACGTTAAGAATCGATTTAGCGAGCTATCACGCGAAAACATTTCCTAAAAGCGCGGGTGAATAAAAATCGTGAAAAACGTTATCGATGTGGCTCGTACAAAAGCACGTTCCTTCGTTGATCTTAACCGCGGCGAAACTTGTTATCGATCCGAGCTTTCGCAGAAAACCTGGCCGAGGGAGAAGCTCTCGAGTAGGAAAGAATGGAACATATTTTTCACCCGTTTCATAAAACACAAAGGAAAGGAGAAGGACAGACGGATGTAGGTAGTCGATAGAGTCGTTCCAGCGTATTCATAAAATATCATGAAATAATCGATAGTATAGTAATTTCATATTCTGATCTACCTGTGGTGTCTGTTTGAGACGCGAGTGAAGTTGAAATTATGAAAGGTAGATAAGACATAATAATATTCATTGAATATTGTACCATCTTTAATGACTCCGCATTAGATTCGATGGGCTGTATTTATCGGGATGGATGGAACGCTACCTACCCTACCTGCTAGTCACTTAATTCAGGGTTTAATAACATAAACTGCTGCCAGGAATTTCAAGCATGCAAAGGCACGCTTACGATCTCTCTTCGAGGAAATCCATAGGAACGCGGCTGCTATCGCCTTCCTTTTGTGTTCGATTCAATTTCTAGAAGCCTTCCTGATAAGCTTCTATGTATCGTGATAAAAAAACGCTAAAAGCTCGCCTCAACAATATAGCAGGTATAATAAATCATAAAATTATTTCAATGGGAGAGAACGTGTTATCGGACTTTCACAATAAAATTGGTCATATCCCATCGTAAGATAATTATAGCAAAAATTATATTCAATTAATGTACGTGTGTTATTGTATACACCGATATCTAAGAAAGTCGATGACAAAAGAGGGAGAAGTAAAAATAATCGTGTCATATAAAAACTTTGGATGATTAAATGTGCAAAGTGATTTACAGTGAAGCACACATATAAAAGATAAAAAATTGTCTTTAACTAAACGCACGTATTACTGTTTGCCCCAGACTACTTTATTTGTGCATTAAAAAGAATTATGGTTTTCGTCCTGTTTTCTTTTAAAGAGGGAAAGGAAACACGAAAGAAACGGGAGGAAAGTATCGAAATTCAATGGGAAGAGTGAGATAGAATCAGAACCGATAGTAGTTTCGCGGTGGTGTTAAAAGCACGTGGTTTCGTGGACGTTGTCTGGATTTTCCGCCAGTTCCTGGATGCTGGCAGAACCTTCGGTACGAGTTCTTGGGGTCTGGCCGGGCCGCCGCGACACCGTGGTCGCCGAATATCGGCTTTCCATTATCGGTGGGTGACCGGGTGAA